GGGAGCCGGCAGCGAGGCAGGGCAAGGTACAGGCTCTGTCACATTCATGCAGTAGCTGCACGTGCCTTGGGGAAGCCCGGGCCGAAGCCTGGCAGCGGGCAGCGCAGCCAGAGCGACACGGCCCGCGTGCATGCAGACTGCCGTGCCTTGCGGGGATAGCCCGGCCCGAAGCCTGGCAGCGAGGCAGCGCAGCCAGAGCCCGACACGGCCCGCCGTGCATGCAGAGCTGCACGTGCCTTGCGGGGATAGCCCGGCCCGAAGCCTGGCAGCGAGGCAGCGCAGCCCGAGCCCGACACGGCCCGCCGTCATGCAGAGCTGCACGTGCCTTGCGGGGATAGCCGGCCCGAAGCCTGGCAGCGAGGCAGCGCAGCCAGAGCCCGACACGGCCCGCCGTGCATGCAGAGCTGCACGTGCCTTGCGGGGATAGCCCGGCCCGAAGCCTGGCAGCGAGGCAGCGCAGCCAGAGCCCGACACGGCCCGCCGTGCATGCAGAGCTGCACGTGCCTTGCGGGGATAGCCCGGCCCGAAGCCTGGCAGCAGGCAGCGCAGCCGAGCCCGACACGGCCCGCCGTGCATGCAGAGCTGCACGTGCCTTGCGGGATAGCCCGGCCCGAAGCCTGGCAGCGAGGCAGCGCAGCCAGAGCCCGACACGGCCCGCCGTGCATGCAGAGCTGCACGTGCCTTGCGGGGATAGCCCGGCCCGAAGCCTGGCAGCGAGGCAGCGCAGCCAGAGCCCGACACGGCCCGCCATGCATGCAGTGTAATCCAAGAAAGCGATTGCCGTGGAAACCCCTTGCCCTTGCCTCGCCCTGCCAGGCTACAGCAACAGCCACAGCCTCCGCTACAGCCTCCGCCACGGCCCAAAGTGTGTATAAGAAGACGAGAGGCGGAACGGTCGACACAGGTTGAAATTAGGGTCGGAAGCCCCCCTGCTTTGCGCGTTGCGCTGTGCGGGGACCCTATTGGCCCGGCGCGGCTTGCACCTCGGTGCCACGAACGCAAGCCCCCCGGATTAGTGCTAACCTCTGTGCCCCGCCCCGCCCCGCCCCGCCCCGCCCCGCCCCGCCTCACCGCGCCTTTTTCGATCCCATCTTTCTTCTCGGTCCTCCACCTGGGACGTCTCGCTCGGCCCTACACTGGGAATAAAATGTGCGACGGGTATGAAGTGACCACATCTAGCGCCCAACGTTGCCACCGAAGGGGGGATGTTGGCCTGTGACCACGCACAGTGGGCCAGAAGACCGGTGGAAGCGGCCAAAACTCTAGACGCGTTTTGAGCTCCAGAGTCGATAAACAGGACTCGGACCGAACGTGTGACCCCACCAATAGATTCCCCGTGTGCGAGGGGCTGCCTACCCGGTGAGGCTCCCGTCAATACCCCGCGCCAATACTCCGCGCCCCAGAGACTGACGGCCTCGCGGACCAGCCCCGCTCCGCGCATGGGGTATTGACAGGTTCTTCCCAACTACTAGTATTCCCAACGTTTGCGGTTTCCGAATCACGCCAACGAGCGCACGTTGGGAATACTTTTGCCTACTTTCCCCATGCGTCGACGTAGGAAGGTGTCCGTTTCGAACACCGGACACCTTAGCCCACGATTTACACCTACAGATTCCCTCCCTCGACTGGGACTGCTCGGTGACTGATAATCCAGTGGGTGTATTATATTTGTATTTGTCAAATAGTACGCAAAACGTGTTATAAATGGTGCATGCAGCAGGAAGGGGAAGTGAGGAAAGGAGAAAGGGGGAACGGGAAAGAGGAAGGAGGAAAGAGGAAGGAGGAGCGGCAAAAAGCACGTCGCTTGTTCGGGGCGGCCAATCACGGGGCAGGTGATAAGGCGAGAGGCCGGGGGAGGGGAGGGGAGGGGCGCATGGCGCATAGCGACGAAACCTCTCTGCGCCCTGAAAGCTGGAACCTGGAAGCAGCTTTCCTGGACTCGATTCCATCCCCGCCGAGTCGTTCTCGTCGCTCTGTCTCTCTCGCACCCACGGGGCGTGCCGCACAGGTGCGAGAGAGACAGAGCGAGGGCCGCTCACCACCCTGGCTGCAGGGCTGCAGCCCTTCCTCTAATGAAATCTTTTTACTCCGACAATAAAATGGGCAAGTGCGACGCCAGGCGCTGCGCCGCGCGCTGTCGCCACTCCGACTGCACCGCGCCGCCCGCCAGCCAGCCACCTCGTTCCGGAGGGTCGCCTCGTCGCTCTGTCTCTGTCGCACTCGGGCGGCGTTGCGCAGGGGGTGCGAGAGCGAAGGATAGACGATCCTTCGGAATCAGTCTGCAGTCCGCCACCGAGCCTTGCATTGCTTCTTGCACCCGCCACCCGCCGCGCAGCGCCGCGCACCAGCGTCACGTCGACAGGCGCGCCGCTCCCCTCCCTTGGGCCATTCACCCACCCTTTACTACTCCTGCCCGTCACTCCCACCCATTTATCCCGACCTACACTCTCGCTCCTCTCCGTCACCCTTGCCCTTTACTCCCAGCCTCTCTCTGTCTCCTCCCCCCTTCTCTCTTCCCTCCCCCCTTCTCTCTCTCTCTCTCTCTCTCTCTCTCTCTCTCTCTCTCTCTCTCTCTCTCTCTCTCTCTCTCTCCCTCTCTCTCTCTCCCTCTCTCTCTCTCCGTTCCACAGCCGCTCTCGCTTTGCACCCATCATTCTCTCCCATCCTCTCTTTCTGCAACCCTTTTCCTCTGTCCTTTGTTCCCACCAGCGCATCTTCCCCATCCTCTTACCCCCCCCCCCCTTCCCCCTCCCACGTATTTCGCTCCCGTTTCCCGACTTTTTTTTAACCGTGGGGATTAAACAAATTTTAAGTGTCCGAGCGCTGAGCTCGTGTCTGACGAGCTGCATCACGGATTCGCTAAATTGTCGTCGCTCTTTGTTTCTGTTTTGTTTAATTTGGCTCGCGCTTCATTTTTTTTCTGCCGTGTGTCCGCGGCAGCGACAGCCCGCCGCCTGAAAACAGGCAACCACATTGGATGTTTGGGGACAAAATATTTCTAAAGGCCAAAGATTTCGTCGGATTTCTCAAGATTTTAACCGATATTCCGCCCAAAATTAGCTTTTTTTTTGCCTTTTGGGGGGCATGATTTCAGATTTCTAGCGCTAAGGGGACACAAGATTTCTAGAGTGGTTGCCCACTCGATCCTGAGTCACCGAGTTGAGCGTCCGTGCATGTTGGCAGTGGCGAGCGCAGAAATTTTGAAAGGGGGTCAAGTCACACATTTTACCTATCTTGAGGCGGCATGTATCACGATTTGCCCACCTTCCAGGTGGCTGTGCACTAGTTGCAAAGAGGCTTCAGGACACCCCCCCCCCTCTCTCTTGCGCACGCCAGTGCGGCTACGGAGACTACGGCTGTACGGCTGGAGTCCTAGATCTAGGGCTCTAGGTGCGGCGAGCTCGGACGAACTTCGCTCGGGGGAACAGCCTTGAGTCGTTTTCGTCGCTGTTTCTCGCGCACCAAAACGGGACGCCCCATGGGTGTGAGAGAGACAGAGCGGCGAAAACGACTCTCGGAATCAGTCTGCTGGAAACCCTCCGGACCCCGGACCGTCGGTAATCCTTTCGCGGTACTACCAGACCCGCGCGCTCCCCGGGGCAAACCAGAAGGGACGGCGTGGAATGCCCCCCCCCCCTCCATGTCTGGGCTAAAATTGAAGCATGACGTCACGGCTGGAGTAAATTTGGAAGAAATCCTTACCGCTTCTTTCAAATTGAGCTGCTATTTTTTATTTCATCTGTCTGCGCGCCTGAAAGATAGACAACTCTTCGACCACTCCTCTCTCGTGCCGGCGCCATCTAGCGGCCAGACTCCGGCAACACTGTCCGGGAAGCGTGCTCCCGCTCCCGAGCGCCGAGCCGAGCGCGAGCACATGGACCGAAGCAGTCACGAGCCGAGCAGCAGCAGAACAGAACCGATCGGGGACCCGGCGAGTTCGGGTGTAAACAAGCAACCACCTGCGTCCACCTGAGTTGATAGTGAGTCTGCTCAATTTACGTTTCTGTGTGCTCGTCACTGGAGGCAAGGTTAATCTTTAGAGGGGTGTTCTCTCGTTTCGACACCGGTAGTTAAAGTCGGCTTGTTTGCAGCCCATCCGTGCCCAGTTTCGTTATGTAAGATCTGCTGTGGTCTGGCAGAAACGATCACGTTCTGCAGGTAGTTTGTGATTTTAACTTCTCCTGGTACTTCGGAAGACCGGATTAATTTTGCCCGCTGCGATTATTGATTTGACATGACCTGTTGAATTAACGTGGCGTTTCGGCCTGGAGGTTCCTGTCAGGATGGGTCTAGGATTTAAAGGGATTTAAAAGGATTTAAACGGCTCTCCTGCTGGAACTGTGATGTAACATTGATGATAATCTGATAAAAGGCGCCTGTCAATCTCTTGGAACTGCTTCAAGCTTCATGGCTGGGTTGATGGTCCATGTTGTGGCTCTTTCCGCTTAGATTCCCTTCTTTGATAATTCTCATTAAGCGTGATTTATCTTGCTATTCACCAATTAACTTAGTTTTATCATTTTTGTTAAATTTCTGTCCAGTGCAAGCCACAAGGACAGTGATAGTACTTGGCCTTTCTGTCAGACTTATCCTCCTGCCATGATGCAGTCAAGGCTTGATTTGTCATCATGTAGCTTTTAATAGATCAAGGAAGGTCTGGTGTAAGAATACATGTGCAAGGCAAAATTAATCAAATGTGTGACGTAATATTAACTTTCATCACATCTTGTTTGGGAGACTCCATTCGTTGCCTGTTTTCTGTGGATATTATGTTGTTGGCCGGCCTCCCTTTGAGGGTCAAAGGTCAGGCGATGTGTAATCTCGATATTTACTTGCGGAGCAGATAACCCTTGGATGTCTGCCCCATGTTGAGACATAGCCACCCACTGCTTCTTTTGGGATTGACGGTGTGACAACTGTGTTTCTGGGATTTTAGTTGACCACATCTGTTTGCCTGTTGCTATAGGGTGGGACTATATTAGCCGTTTTGGTCGTTGCAGGATAAAAACCATGGATACTCACGTCTTAAGGCTGTATCAGCATCCCGGCCTTAATGTGGGCAGTGTTGCCTCAAAGGTCAAGCTTCTAAAGCAGGTGTCTCCTGTTGTGAGTGGCCTAAGGACAGAATTATGTTACAACCTGGAAGTTAAAGGAAGCCTCTCTGAGGATGATCTCCGTGCCCTGCGATGGATTCTGGGAAACCCCTTGCACCCTGAGCAGCTGACATCAGAACCTCATCTTGTAGGTCATTCTCATGGAAGCCTTATGATTGAAATTGGGCCCAGGTATGTCATAGAATTTTTTTTTTCTAATATAATTTTTGTTTGAAGCTGTAGTTCAATACCACTTGTGGAGTTTACAATTTTTTTCCAGATCATAATATTTTGTGTTCTAAAGTAACTTACCTGAAATGCTAATTCTTTCAGGCTCAACTTTTCAACTGCTTTTTCGAGCAATGCTGTTTCCATTTGTCAGAAAGTTGGCCTGACAAATATCTCACGGGTGGAAGTATCAGTGCGCTACCTGATTGACTGGGAGCAAAATGGACTCAATCAACCAAAGGATCTTCCGAATCAGGTATGGAGATTAAACTACTGTTCTATGCTCGGAAAAATTAGTCTGAGGTAGTCTGGATAGATTGTACATTCTGCAATCATTTTTCAGCTAGCTGCTGTGCTCCATGACAAGATGACTCAGTGTCGTTACGAGAGGCCTCTGGAGTCATTTGATTTGGGTGTGGCTCCTGCCCCATGGTTTGAGGTAGATGTGATGAAGAAGGGGAGGCCCGCATTGGAGGAAGTCAATTCCAAACTTGGTCAGTCTAACTTAAAAGCTGTTTTGATCAAGGTCTTTTCCATCAAATATGTAGAGGTTCACATGCTTAATGTTCTCTATTGATTTCAGGTTTGGCGTTTGATAACTGGGATCTCGACTTCTACACAAACCTGTTCCGAGATAAGCTGAAGCGTAACCCTACTAGTGTGGAGTGCTTTGATCTTGCACAGTCAAACAGTGAGCACAGCAGACACTGGTTTTTCAAGGTATGTTTTAATTCACTATTTTTTAATTTATTTTTTTTTTAAATTTTGAAAGGACGTTATTTTTATCATCTTTTCTTCCTCCTCTTTAGGGTGCCATGGTCATTGATGGAGAGAAGCAGAAAGAATCCCTGTTTGACATGATTATTCAGACACAATCCTCATCAAATCCGAACAATGTCATCAAGTTTAGTGACAACAGCAGGTAAGTCTTTATGAATACATTGGCTAATGTAAGATTATTATCATTATTTTTATCCATTAGTATTTGATTTTGTTTACTTTTTATTCTGTAACATATTTCTTGCTTCCAGTGCTATTGAAGGATTTGAGGTTCAAAACTTCCGCCCCCAGAACCCTGGAAAGCCTAGTGCTTTTAAAACATCCAAATCTAAAAGCCATCTTATTTTCACCGCTGAGACTCACAACTTCCCAACTGGAGTGGCACCTTTCAGGTAGATTACCATTTTTACAAGCCTCAAAGATTTTAAAGCCAGCATTTTGGGTTTGACAAAAATAAAAGGGATTTATCACTAATTTAAATTTTTTATCCTTCTAGTGGAGCTACTACTGGTACTGGTGGCAGGCTGCGAGATGTCCATGCTGTTGGCAGAGGTGGGCATTGCATTGCTGGAACCGCTGGCTACTCTGTTGGAAACTTGAACATTCAAGGTAAACTGAAATTTCAAAAATGTGTTTGATTGTTTCAAGCAAATTTGTTTCATATATTACAAAGTGTATTTTTCTTCCAGGCTATGATTTACAATGGGAAGAGAAGAGTTACAAGTATCCAAGCAACTTTGCTTTGCCATTAGATATTTTGGTGGAGGCTAGTAATGGTGCTTCAGACTACGGAAACAAATTTGGAGAGCCGTTAATCTGTGGTTTTACCAGATCATTTGGTCTCACTGATTCTTCTGGTGAAAGAAGAGAGTGGATCAAACCTATTATGTTTAGTGGAGGTGTTGGTACAATTGACCACAACATGACTGAAAAGTTGAAGCCTGCTAAAGGTACTTAACACTATATTGATACTGTTAACCCATGCTGTGTTTCATTCTGTCAGTCTCATGTAAACTATTCAAAACAATTTTTTGTAGGTATGCAGGTTGTTAAGCTGGGGGGCCCTATTTACAGGATTGGTGTTGGTGGTGGCGCTGCTAGCTCAGTTGAGGTATGACTCTCAAAAATTTTATCTGTACCTTCAATGAAGTTTTACCATCAAAATAACATTATTTTCTTCAATTAGGTTCAAGGAGACAATGCTGAGGACCTAGACTTTGGCGCTGTGCAACGTGGAGATGCGGAAATGGAACAGAAACTCAATCGAGTGATTAGGGCCTGCTTAGAAATGGGTGAAAAAAATCCTATTCTCACCATCCATGATCAAGGTGCAGGTGGAAATGGTATGTTGTTCTTAGATTTTGTGGGAGAATTTCCTCTGACCTCAAAGTACAGTTTTTTAAAATTGCTTTTGTTTTTTCATAGGTAATGTTTTAAAGGAGCTTGTTGAGCCAGAAGGAGCAGTGATCTTCACAAAACGCTTCCAGCTGGGTGATCCAACAATCTCAACTCTGGAATTATGGGGTGCAGAATACCAAGAGAACGATGCTCTCCTTTGCAAACAGGAGGATGTTCCTGTATTAAAGCAAATTGGTGAACGTGAGCGTTGCCCTGTGAATTTTGTGGGAACTGTCACTGGCACTGGAAAAGTATGTACCCCTTTCCTTTGTTTTTATTATTTTTATTTTGTGTTTTTGTTGTTGTTTAGACTTTTTAAAACAATCCACTTTTCAACTTCTCTTGTCATTTTTATCTTGTAGGTCATTTTGTCTGAGGAAGATGACACCAGTGACGAGAAGTATTTGAACGGCAATGAAGGCAATCAGCGTCACCCTGTGGATTTGGAGCTGGAGTTGGTGTTGGGTAAAATGCCACAAAAAGAGTTCCACCTCGACAGGAAGCCCCTCATTACCAGATCCTTGTCCCTCCCTGCTAGCCTCGATGTCAAAGCTGCATTGGAACTGGTTTTGCGCCTGCCAACAGTCTGCAGCAAACGTTTCCTCACCAACAAAGTGGATCGTTGTGTGACTGGTCTCATTGCTCAGCAGCAGTGTGTTGGACCTCTGCATACACCTCTGGCAGATGTTGCTGTTACTGCTATTTCAATGTTTAACACAGTATGTGTGTTTACCTTCTAATGTATCTAACATTAAATATGCAGAATTATTTTCACCAATTGATTTTTGTTCTGTTCTTAGGAAGGTGTGGCTACAGCAATTGGTGAACAACCCATCAAGGGTTTAATTAACGCCAAGGCTGGAGCTCGAATGGCAGTTGCTGAATCTCTTACCAACCTTGTGTTTGCTGCCATCAGCGACATCAAGGTACAACTCTACCTTTCTTTAAAATAATTTATTCAGGATGTCCGTACTTTTTACATGAAGTAGATTTATGCAATTTATATCCGACTAAATACTTTCTGTTTACTTTATAGGATGTAAAGTGCAGTGGAAACTGGATGTGGGCAGCCAAACTTCCTGGAGAAGGCACAGCACTTTATGAGGCTTGCCAAGCCATGTGCAAGTGTATGTGTGAACTGGGAATCGCCATTGATGGCGGTAAAGACTCCTTGAGTATGGCAGCCCGTGTGGGTTCAGACACTGTAAAGGCACCAGGCACGCTGGTTGTATCAACGTACGCTCCTTGCCCAGACATCCGTAAAAAAATCACTCCAGACTTGAAAAGCCCGGCAATGGGACAGAAGGGGTGCCTCTTGCTTGTTGATCTGTCAGGTGGAAAAATGCGACTTGGTGGCTCAGCATTGGCCCAATGCTTCAAACAACTGGGAGACTGTCCCCCGGACCTTGATGACTGCAAACTTCTTTCTCGGGCCTTTACAGCAACCCAGAAACTCATCAAAGGTACAGAGAATTAAATTTCTACACTCAGGAATGATTAAACCTTCTTTAGTTATTTAAAGGTAGTTATTAATTACTGCTTTCGTTATGTCTTTCAGAAAATGTTCTTCTTGCTGGTCATGATGTTAGTGACGGTGGTTTGGCAACCTGCCTCTTGGAAATGGCATTTGCTGGCTTGAGTGGCCTTCTTATCAACATTGACCATGCTGAAGAAGGAGCTGATCCTCTTGAGGTTCTATTTGCCGAAGAATTGGGTTGGGTTTTGGAAGTCTCTCAGGAGCATGTTTCACATGTACGACAGACCTTCAGAGATGCCCAAGTGCCTTGCCATACCATCGGCCACTCTACAGGTCTTGGAATGGAATCTAAGGTATATTCCATCATATAAGGGTTTTCTTTTACTTTTGTTTAGTTTTAGGAGGGACTGATTGTAATGGGTCTTGGTTCCACTAAATTTATAACATTGTTTATGTTCTAACAGATTCAAATGAAAATCAAGGGAACTGTTGTCCTGAATGGAGATGTTTCATCTCTCTTCAGTGAGTGGGAGTACACCAGCTACCAGCTTGAGTGTCGCCAGACTAACCCCATGTGTGCTCGCCAAGAATTTGAGGGTTTGAGTAGAAGACGTGTACCCAAATACAAACTGTCCTTTGATGCCAATGTGGTGCCCAAGCCACAGAAAAGCTTAGCATCTGGTAAATGAGTTTTCCTTAAAATTAAAATTTTAATGGCATCTTCCAAGCAGTTTCTTACTAATTTTAAATAATTTTCTCAGCTCCTAGAGTGGCAGTGATCAGAGAGGAAGGTTCCAATGGTGACAGAGAGATGTCAGCTTCTCTCTATATGGCTGGTTTTGAGGTGTGGGACCTGACTATGCAGGACCTTCTGGATGGACAAATCACTATTGATTCCTTCCGAGGTGTCATTTTCCCTGGTGGCTTCAGCTATGCTGGTGTGTTTTTCTTTCATTCTACTTGTGAAGTGATTATCTGTTTTTCTTAAATTGACTCACCTTATTTGTGTGTCTGTTTTGCTATGTAGATGTTCTTGGCTCTGCTAAAGGCTGGGCAGCTAGTCTACTTTTCCATGCAAGACTTCGTGACCAGTTCAAGGCCTTTGCCATGCGAAAAGATACCTTCAGTTTGGGTGTGTGCAACGGTTGCCAGCTCATGAGCTTGTTGGGTTGGATTGGAGTCAAGTCAATTGGTCAGTTTCTTTATTTCTTGTTTTAATTTTTTTTAAAAAGGTCTTCAGATTGAGATTAATTTAAAATGACTGGTATGTCATTTGTTCACAGCCGAAGCTGATGATGTCCCTGATATTGTCCTCGATCACAATGAGTCGGAACGCTTTGAGTGCCGATTCAGCAGTGTGCGCATTGAGAAGTCCAAGGCCTTGATGCTTCAAGGCATGAGTGACAGTGTGCTGGGAGTGTGGGTGGCTCATGGAGAAGGTAAATTAATGTCTTAAAGGAAGATGCAGACATCTAGGACTTTCAATTAAATATTTTATTAAATTTAACATTATTCAACAGGTAAATTCACCATGAGAGAGAACAGCATGCTTCAAAAACTTGAAGCTGGATCCTGTGTGGCCCTGCGGTACGTCTCTGAAGATGGTGAAATGGCAGTGGAGTATCCCTTGAATCCAAATGGAAGCATAAGTAAGTCAATTTTTTAAAATATTTTTTTTTAACTTTCCTTGTAATTTATTACTTTTGAACTTTTCGTTTTATGGAACGATATGAACATTTATGTTTTTGTTTCTTTCAGGTGCCATTGCAGGTATCTGCTCTATGGATGGCAGACATCTTGCCATGATGCCCCACCCTGAACGCTGCACACAGATGTGGCAGTGGCCTTGGGCACCATCTGACTGGAGCACTAAAGTTCAGACGTCACCTTGGATGCGCATGTTCCACAATGCGTATACTTGGTGTGTTGACAATGCTTGAGCAAAACTCATAATTTCGGAATCTATTTCAAACTGTTCTCAATTTTCTAATCTATTAAGGTAGCCTTCACTATATGTTTTTGTTTTGATAACTCAATATCACAGACAGAAATGTGCAGTCTTTGAATTGAGGAGAGGAGTTGATTCATTTTAAAGATGTCATAGAGTATCGTGTTGTCTGTGATTGATTAGGTGACTTCCATCATAATCAGGTGATATATGTAATTACTGTTCATTTTTGTTCCAAAAGCCGAACCTTGAGATCTGTTACTACCCTTGTTCAGTATTGTGAGCAACTAATGATGCAACTGTTGTTTTTAGAGAAGCCATAAAATTTCTGTGATACTTAGGGTAATAACACTGCCTTGGGGCTTCCAGGATTTCTACCTATGAACTTCAGGAAAGCTTTATTAATAATTTGGCCCTAAGAACACAAAATAGTTATGGTGTAGTCAATGGTGCCTAAATGTCACCCCTTCTTTTCTGAATTATTCATCAAAAACAGTTATCCAAATAACCTTTTGCGTTAGATGGATGGAACTTTCTGCTGTTGTATCCATCTTTGATGTACTGTTGTTATATGCCACAACTAACAGTGTATGGGTTTTTTTTATCTGTATGAGTCTTGTTATCCTTTTTATAAAAACGACTATTTTTTTAATCTCTTTTTTATTCAATGAGGTTTGGATGTTCTACAAATATATTTTTCTCCTCAGGATGATTCCTGACTGTTTTTTAAGGAGTCATTTGTTATTTGATTAGAAGAGTCTTTGTTACAATTTCTGTAGGAGCATGCTGATATGATATGAAAAGTAGTACAAACACAATTATCAATGTAAAACAAGATGCTAAGTATTTTTTGTTATAAATAAGTACTTTCTTACAAAACATTTGTTTGAATACTCTTTCCCTTCTCACCTCTTCTGCTCAGTAAAACAGCATTATTAAACCTATTAAAATTGTGTAATAGATAACATGCAAAATAGAAACAGTCTGGCATTATGTACATGGTTGAGTCATAACTTTGAGCTCATGGAAGGGACCTGGGGATATCACAGATTGTTTGGGGGAAGTTGGCACCCACTGCAACTCAATGGTACTCGAATCTTAAACCTACATATGGCTGTCACTCCTCTTGCTGTTGCTGCTGCTGCTCGTAGGCCCGCTCTTCAATCCCAAATTTCTGATAGAGACTAACCACATGAAGTATGAGCCAGAGCTGCAACGCTGTAAATTTGGCAAAAACAAAACAAAGTTCAAAATTAAAAAAGGTGATCGGGTTTCGAACGCAACCACACTTTTCAACGTCGCCCTTCAACTGACCGAGAATAACAATCAAAATAAACATGTTGGCTATTTGCGCGTTGACCGAGGAGGCGTAGAACACCAGCAGCCCGGTGGTGATGAGGAGGTTCATGACGCCCACCACCATGTAGGGCCACATCAGCGCTCGCCGTTTCTAGAAAACGCGTAGAAACGCGACGAGTGAAACACAGTTTGCCGTTTCGGAACCGATTGCTTCAGAGAATGAGCTGCTATCGGCCCGGGGAAGCATAGAGCCCTACATTATACCTTCGGGGGATACAGCCTGGTGGGTAGGCAACCGAGATGCATGCTAGTTTGACGGGACGGCCCACCCTGCAGCCTGCAGGCGCTCAGTGCTCACCGTAACGCGAGGAAACTCACCTTATAGACTCCGTACAGCAGCAGGACTCCCAGCACGACCCAGAGGACGAGGCAGAACAGCAGCGCGATGCACACCACCTTGGTGGCTGCGAGCACACACACACACAGGCCCGCGTGTTACACTCAAGTCAAAGTAGGGCATTGTGCGATACTCGCAGGACGGGCAGGCGCTACCCGGGCATGGACTGCGGGCTGATTCCGAACACTGCTGTCGTCGCTCCGTCTCTGTCGCACTCATGGGGCGGCCCGTTACGGGCGCGAGAGAGACAGAGCGGGAAAGCACCAGCCGTTCGGAATCGCTCTGCTCGCTCTGCTCGACCGGCGGAGGAATAGTGAGCTATACTTGCTGCTGATCGCTCGCCTGTCGAAGTCGTCCGACTGCGGCGAGAGGTTCTGCTCCAGGGGGATGAGCCACACGGACAGCATGACGAGGTCCACGACGGCGATCACCACGAAGGCGCCCTGGAAGGCCGGGGCCGCCGAGGCGGGCGTGAGGGTTAGACGGAGATGGCGCGAGAGGCAACGACAGTCAAGAACGAGGCGGAGCCAGAGAGGCAACGACACCGGTAGAACGAAGGCGTAACGGGGCACTCTTTGTGAAGCGCACTGTCCGTACGCCCTTCTTCCCTTCCTCAAACGTACAAGATCTCATCCGCTCCTTTCCTCCTAGGCTTGGGAGGGAAGTGCCTTGAAGCGTAGTAGTACACTTCAAGAAGGGCGTAAAGGCCTTCAAGTGTAGTAGCATGAGCGTGGAGCTCCGCTTTAGTTCCACCAGTGGGGAAGAGGAGATGATGGGCCATCGCTACTGACCGTGAGGATGAAGCCCTGGACCTTGACGCAGGTGTCCAAGGCGCAGCAAAGGCACCCCTTTTCGAGGATGGGCATCTTGACCGCCGACGTCGTCGACCTGAGGGAAGAGATGGGGCAGACGGGATTACACACTGCCAAAAATGTTAAGATTACCCTAATTCGACCCTGGGATAGCAGGGAGACACTTTTAAGACCCCCCCCCACACACACACAAAGCAAGACGATGATGCACTCGGCCAACGCTGGGTGGAGGAAACTGCCGGTTTAGTGACCCAAGTGCATTGTGGTGGCAATAGAACGGAGTGGCCGTCGACGACGCCGTCGAGGACGCCGAGGAGGTGGAATGTGGGTGCGCGGTGTCGTTGAGACTGAGAACTGCAGACTGATTCCGAGAGTCGCTTTCGTCGTGCTCTCATCTCGCACATAAGGGACGCCCAATGAGTGCGAGGGAGACAGAGCGACGCAAACGACTCTCGGAATCAGTCTGCGGAGGGGGTTTTCGAACTGATTGAGTAAATTGGATAAGCAGCGGCGCACGGAACACCACGCTCCCCGCCGTCGCGGAGGGCAGAGTGGGCCCCGGGCCTCCTCTCCTCCGTCCTGGCGGCGGCCCAGTCTGCGATCGCCCTAGTCGAGGCGAGGGCCATGGGGCCGCTAAGGCAGACGGACACGGGGCCAACTGCTTTGACCCGGTGCCTTCGCGTGCTTCGCGTTCGCGGTGACACCGAGTCGCTACCCGACGGCCGCCCTCCTCCCTCGCGACGTTGGCGACGTCGGCGACCACGTTGACAATTAGCACGTTGACGGCGACGGCTGCCGAAGGCCCTGCTGCGCTCTGGGGGGTGAACGACCAGCAGGAGCACCTGTACGTCTCTCTCACACCCCTTCGAAACGCCCCATGAGTGCGAGAGAGACAGGGCGCCACCAAAGGAAAGCAGCAGTACCTGGCTGGGCCGCAAGTCGCGAAGGCTCACCATCGTACTCGACACTCCACCATCAAAACAATTGCAGTTCAGTTGAGCCGTCGCCGTGGCAACGCGATGCGAGTGGGGTCGTATTGTTGCCACCGTACTCCAGCAGACGGACTCCGAGAGTCGTGTTCGTCGCTCTGCCTCTCTCGCCCCTATACGGGACGCTCCGTGAGTGCGAGAGAGACACCGCGACGAAAACGACTCTCGGAATCGGTCTGCAGGTCGCCTCGACAATGGAGTGGGTCGAATTAGCCTGAATGCAGGGCAGGGCGCCGTCCGACGTCTGCGGCAGGGGGAACACCACGGCACGGCAGGGCACGGCACGGCAGGGCACGCCACGGCCGGGCATTCCTGCGGCAATTAGAGACGACGCGCGGCCTACGCCGAGCACGCCGTCGTGGCCGAGCCGCGGGGTGCCTCGACGCGCGAGCTGCGCGAGCGAGTGACTCGAAGGACTCGAGGCTCGGCGCGCACGTGTGTGGCGCCAAGTCCACCGCCGGCGCGGCGCGCGGTCGAACTTCCCCGCCGCTTGACTCCACAGGTAGCCGCCGTCGCTGCGTCTCGCTCGCACTCGAGGCGCGTCCCATGGCGGCCGGAGTCGGAGGAAGACCGGCGCGCGGATGCCTCGGCCGGTGGTGCGGGCCGCGCGGGCTCAACAGACTCCGGCCGCGGCCGGAGCGGCGGCCCCGCGGGGAGCGGCAGGCAATGCGAATGCGCCTCGCGGGCGCGCACCGCCGGCGTTGCCCTCGCCGCCACGGCGGCACACTGTCACTGTCACGGCCGCGTGGGCGCGGTCGGCTTACCGCCAATGTCCCGTGCGGCTCGCGTGCGGCTCGCCGTGCGCTGCAGCTGGTCGTGGAGGTGCGGGCGTCGCCGGCGCGTCGCGGCGGTCCGCGGCCAGGGGGGGGGCGGAGCCAGGCGGAGCGTGGCGCGGACGTCCGCGGCGTCCGTCTGGGACTCACTGCGGCGGCGGCGGCGAGCCCAGCCCGGCCCGGCGTCTCTGGAGGCCCGCCACTCCGCCAGTGCTGGGGCCCCGACGGCCATCGTCCAGCCGCGCCCCGCCGCGCCGGGCCACGCCGCGGCCGCGGGGCGAGGGGCGAGGGGCGTCCGTCCAGTCACTCAGATGCACGGGAAAGGAGGGGGATCCTCTCTACGTGCCCTGCGCGTCCCCTGCCCTGCTGCTGGTCTCCTGAACGGGGAGATCGGGGCCCCCTCCATCAGCCGGGGTCGCCCCAATCGCCGCGGCCCTCCCTCATTCTGAACAACTTTCCAGCGTGGCGGTGCCGGCCGGCGTTTCCTGCTGATCGTGATGGTGTTCTTGGGACGCCTTGGGTCGCCTGCAGACTGATTCCGAGTGTCGTCTCGTCGCTCTGTCCCTCTCGCACCCATGCGGGGCGCCACATGAGTGCGAGAGAGACAGAGCGACGAAAACGACTTTCGGAATGAGTCTGCTGTTTCCGCCGATGCGATGCACTGCCGACGTCGGCATGCCGCGCCAGTCCCACCTGACACCTCGAGACTGCTCGATGCTCGACGAGACGGACTCCCCTCGGACTCCCCGCCACGCACGGGCAGCGCACTGCCTCGGCGATTCAGGAAGGACTGACACGCAGAGGCCTGTTTAGCGACTCTGGAGCTCAAAACGCGTCTAGAGTTTTGGCCGCCTCCACCGGTCTTCTGGCCCACTGTGACTTGCTCCGCCCCACTCCGCCGCGTCCAGTGTCCAGTGAGTCCAGGAGGGCTTCTCCCGAACGGTGTTCGCCAGTGAACCGGAATTCGAGCGAATCAGCCAGCGAGGGAACGGCTCCGGTGAACGATACACCGGATGAGTGAACAAGGGAGCGCGTGATGGCGCGATGTTCGAACGGCCGGGACACCGCGAGCAAACTGAGCGAACGCAGGGAATGAACAGACAGAGCGAACGAACGGGCAGGGTGAAGGAATGGTCGCTATGCTTATCAACGATGAAGGAATACAGTCCGTGATCGGAAGAGGATGAACGATGGACTTTCGCTCGCTGGATGTTCGCGATCACTCATTTAACCGTGGTTCGCCCGTTTGCTCGCGACGAATGAGTTAGCCCGCTGTTCACTTCACTCGACGATTCGCCCGATTCCGCTAGATCGTGCCGCCCTTCGCGAGTCCGGTCGTTCTCCGTGTTGCGTTCGTTCACTTGTTCATATTTCCGGTTCATTCGCTTTTCTGTTCGGGAGAAGCCCTCCAGTGGTCGCGACCTCGCGGTTAGCAGCGCGTCGACTCGCAGCGACTGATCCGAGAGTCGTCGTTCCGTCTCTCTCGCACCTGTGCGGGACGCCCCATGAGTGCGAGAGGGACGACAACGACTCTCAGTCTGCAGCGTTGCAAGTGACGCCTGGTGCGCACATGACACCGGACACGGTGCAAGCCCTGGGCAAGCCAGCGGCTGCCAGCCACGCGCCGACGAGACGAGCCCAGCAGCCTGATAGTGTCGTCGGCCTGTCTCCGTTGCACTCGTGGGCCTTCCCCTTGGAGAGGGAGGGAGACAGAGCGACGAAACCAGTCCTCTGGAATCCGGCGGCTGGACGGCGGTGACGGCGGGAATGAACCAGAACTGCATGATGACGAAAATGTGCGGCTGAGCGAGCGAATACACGGATTACATCACCAAGATTAGGACAGTCATTGACCTGCCCCCGCCCCACTCTCGAGAGAGTGATCTCGCTCCTCTGTGACCCAGGTGGACTGAGGACCCCGATTTTCCGCAGCCGCAGGAACGGATGGGTCTCTTGCCCCGCCCATAGGGCCTCAACCATGACCACGAGATATCCGCCTGCAATGTAGAGAAAAAAACATGCTTTGCCCCTGTAAGTAAGCCAAAAGTGCTTTGCACCCCCCCCCCCCCCCCGCCTCTGGATCCGCCACAGGTAATGGTTTTCCGCAGGTTTTCCGCCGCGCTTTGAATTTCATGTCGCCGCCGGGCCGAAGCACCGCGACGTCTTTTGTCTCCAGTTTCCTCGCTCGCCCGCCGCAGCGCAGCGCCACCATCGGGTGGAATGCCAAATTTGTTGAGCCCGTCGTCCGTCGCCGTCAGTTGTTTTTGGAGTGGGTGAGAGTGAAAGGCAGTGTGTTTGTGAAAGGTAAGCGAGAGAGAGGAAGCCGGTCTGAGAACCCATTTGACTCGAGTGAGGTGAGCAGTAGTGAATTTTCAGTCCAATTATGTTGCCAGTCTCGTTGATGCCGTCACATTTTTTTTATATATATATTCGGGACGTAGACTAGGCAACGCAGCTAGCCCCGGCCTTGCCTAGAGCCTAGTCTGCCCGTAGTGCCTGTAGCTTCAAGGGACGCCTTTTGATCACTAGGCTCTCTATTCCTTTCTAGCAATCCGCTATAGATTTTGTCGATTTGGACCCATTCTGATCATGTATGAGTATATCGCGACTTGAATTCCTTTTCCTGGCCACTGCACTGGCTGTGGCTAACCTCTTTGTTGAGCGTGGAGCGACGTGCCTGAGCCTCCCTCGGCGTGCGTTGCCCTGCTCTGCCCGAGTAGAGTTCGGCTCCGGCTCTGCTTGGCCGTTTTGACGCTCGCTTCCCTCTCGTGACACTTCTCGTTCGTTTGCAGCTGCAGTTCGGTGTGGTCGGGCGCGTCAACATGTACGCCGGTGGCGAAGATTTGTAAGTCCTGCACCTGCTTATGTCGCCTGCTTGTGTTTTTCGATTTGTTTTGATTCAGTAAAGTAATGTCGTTTTTGTTTCATTTGCAGTTTGTGCCAGCGGAGTGGGAAGTGCTTGTGGATACCTCCCCACAACCTGAATGAAGATGTCACTGAAGTTCGTGTACATTGCTCTTCTCTAGGGTTATGTTTCCCTGCTTGTGTTACTAACTGGTGTTTCATTGTCTGTCCAGGATGACGTATTTGAATTTTTCTCTAATTTTGACGTAATTGATGTTGAAATCCAACCAGGAGGTGCTGGTGTCCTCTTTGCAACTATTCGGTTGGTCTCGACTTCTCATGCTACTTGCCTGCATCCCTTGCTTTTGCCTCTCCTAATTTTCTTCGTCATTGTTGTGCAGGGGTGCTGCTGAAGCTGAGAGATTCTTCATCCAAGCGGCAAATCCTCAGCCGCTGGGAGCCTCAATGATGAATGGGCACCACATGATGGGTGCAGCACACCACATGGGACCTATGGGATCGATGGGACCCATGGGACCATCTATGGGCATGATGATGTCAGGAGCCTCTCTGCCGGTTGGCCGTCCATCCAGGTCTGGTTATTTTTTGACCAAGAGCGTGGGTATTTGTATTGCCTCTGAGGTGTTAATGAAGACTTTGTTCCAGGCCCGTTCAAGTACACAAACCATTCTTGCTGGCCCAAGGCCCAAGTGCCAATGTGAAGGTGGTGGCTAATACAGACGGCTCCCGCAGTATTATTTCTCCACCTCCTCCGGTAGCTGGAGAGTCTCTTGAGGAAGATGTAAGTATCTCAACATTGTTGTGTCCTCACTTTTGATCATGGCGTTAACATTGCTGTCTCTCTCAGGTTCCTGTACTCAAAGGTAACTGCTCTTTGTGTAAGAAGCTGACCTCCTATGTATGTGGAAGGTGTGGCATCTTTTATTGTTCGAGGGAATGTCAGACACAGAACTGGCCCACTCATCAGACTGAATGCAATACTGGGCTGTAAGTAATGTTTATTTTATTCCAATAATTTCTTTGGTATGTTTAGAAGTGAACAGTGGTCTTCATCCTACCTATTTTACAGGCCACCTTTGATCTTTGCGGGCAAGCGCCATGTAACAGGGATTGAATTTAATGCTTGTCAAGTGCCACAGCAAGTTAGCCCAAGAGAGGGTAGACGTTCCCCAATTGGTAAGCAGTTTGCCACTGGGAGAAATCGCAGTAGCCCTGAAGCTTCTGGAGAACAGGCGAAGCCACTAGCAAGTAATGGTGTGAAGGATGAGAAGGATGAACGCACTCAATCCTCAAGCCAGAACCGCAGTGGTGGCAATGAGCGACGATTCGACCAACGTATGTCTGATAGGGGGTCATCTGGCGCATCTTTTCGACCTGAACAGAGAGATGAAAGAAGAGGTGATGGAATGAGGCAAGATGTTCGTCAAGGTCGAGGCTTTGGGGCCAGCCAAGGAAGGAACTTTGCTAGAAATAGAAGTGATGATTCTGATAGGAGTCCCAATGCTGCTGCTTCTGGGGCCAGCCAAGGAAGGAACTTTGCCAGAAATAGAAGTGATGATTCTGATAGGAGTCCCAATGCTGCTGCTTCCACTTCCAAATCGTCCATGAATGAAAATGTGAGAAGCCCCAGAAGCATGCCAGAAAGTTCTGCCGTTCAGCAAGACTCTGCTTCAGGAACTGTGAGCCCCATCAAATCATCCAACACTGCTGCTAACTTACTGAAGAATTTGAAACTTAACTCTCCTAAAGCTGAAAGTCCAAGTGTACCTGCAGTTTCATCAGATGTGCCTGAAGAAAAGTTCTGTAAACCAAAATCTGTCAGCCTAATTAGTGGCAGCGAAGTGTTAATCTCGCATGTAGGCGAGGATTGCATTTATTTGCAGTCAACAAGGGATTTGAATCAATTAGTCATGGTGACAAATGAGCTGAAAGCCCAAGGTGGTTTAGGTTGGTTTTGTTAAATTAAATTTATTGTCAAATTAATTATTATTATTACTAACACTGACTCCATGTTCTCTGTTCCTTAGTTCAGAGTCTTCAAAGGGGGCCCAAAAAACATGAATTTTTAGGAGCCAAATATAGTGCTGATAAAAATTTCTACAGGTTTGTTATTTTGTTCAGTATTTTTTCATGCTTATTAAATTTGTCTTAGCGTTTCGGTGATGTTATCTGCTTCTTTCAGAGCTGTGGTTGAGAGTAGAATACGTGATGGCGTGTACGTAGTTCATTTTGTGGATTTTGGAAATTCAGAATCCGGTGTGTCGAATGGTGCCATGATTCCTTTAACCAAGGGGTTAGCTGAGGTAAGTTTAATGCTCCAGTAGGTAATATGTTTTTAAAAATCAACTGCACCATGGTTGAAAAAATTCTTATGCTTTTCTCAGGTTCCCTGCATGGCTGTGAAAGTTGTCCTCAAGGATGTGACTGGTGCGTTTTCTAACGCAGCCCTTACTATTTTAAATTCTTACTTTTGTGACGAGTCATTTCTCACAGTGGTATGCATCTTAGCCTTGCATTATTTTGTCCTCTGCAACCTTCTGTAGCTATCATGATGCTAAGTCATCTTTAATTATTTTGTGTAGGAGTTTGAAGGTGATGCCGCTGCAGGTGTGACATTATATGAGAAGAACGGAGACAGTGTTAACGTCAAAGTGCTGAAAGCCATGGGCAAGCTGTCGAGCTCCCCATCAACAGCAACAACACCACCATCTGCTCCAGTTGTGGCTGCTGCTGCTGCTGCTGCTGCTGCACCCGCCCCCATCCCAATCCCAGTGGTTGCTGCCCCTACCCCAGTCCCAGTTGTATATTTACCTCCAGTTGTGCCCGCTCCTGCCCCCGTGGCATCCGAGCCCGTACCTGCTCCGGCTCCGCTTCAAGCTGAGCCCACTCCTCCAGTCGTCGCGGCGCCAGTACCTGCCCCTTCCCCGGTTGTGGTCGCTCCGGCTCCAGCCCCAGTTGTAGCCACCCCGGCTCCAGTCCCGGTTGTAGCCACCCCGGCCCCAGCTCCGGTTGTAGCTGCCCCGGTTGAAGTCGCCCCGTCTCCAGCCCCGGTAGCAGCTGCTCCGGTTGAAGTGGCTCCGGCTCCAGCCCCGGTTGTAGCTGCCCCTGCTCAAGTCGTTACTGCTCCGGCTCAGCGTTAGTATAGTACAGCTACCTCTGTAGCATGCTCAGCCTAAAGTACGAGCTCTGAAGTTTATGATGTTTTGTATGTTTTAGGTTTCTTCTCTCTTTCGGAAGTGAAGTATGTGGAATTCCCAGCTGTGGGCACTAAGTGTCCGGTCCTGCTCAACCACTTTCACAAAGATTTCGGCTTCTTCATGGCCTGTCCTGTTGATATGGAAGCCATTGAGTTAGCCGCAGAATTGGGTCCAAAGCTTGAAGCCTATGCTGTAAATGCTCAGCCCTTCCGACCGCAAGCAAACGAATTATGTATTGCAAAGTGGTCAGGTAAGCATGTCACATTTCACTTCTTGAACTCTTAATTTAATATCTTATTTTCTAATTATAGTTTACTTTTGTGTTCTTTTCTTAGATGATGCCTGGTATCGAGCTGTTTGCCTTGAGCCCGCAGGCGATGACAAATTTAACATATTGTTCTTGGAGTATGGGAATAGTGATATAATCCCATTCCCCAATTTCCGCCCTTTCACTGAAGAGTTTCTGAAATATCCAGCTTTATCGTCCCCATGCGTGTTGGCAGGTACAGATTTTGCATGTTGCTCCTAATGTGGCTGTTCCAATACCTTTACTTTTGTTTCATTTTAACTTTTGTTTGCAGAACCTTTTGAACTAAAGGAATCCCACAGAGCCAAGGTTCAGTCGATGTTCAAAGATGAGTGGATAGTTGAGGCAACTGTTGTTAAAAAAGAAGATGGGTCCTGCACTCTCGATATTCCAGAGATAAAAAATGCTCTTGACTAATTGATGTTGAAATCTTGTTCAGCATTTTAGATTTTTTGACTGACTAGGTTTATGTGTCTGGAATCTTATTTTCATTTAGTTTTTCTCTTAAACTATCAATCAATTATACTAACTATCATGTTACTGAAACAATGGTGAAGTTTTTAGTTTATTACATAGTTTTCTGGTTTTAAGTTCGTTTTTTTACGGTATGGTGGTTTATACTTACCTAGAAGACTAAATATTGTTTCTCTTATGTATCACTAAGAAGAATAAAATGACTGATTGTATGACGTGTTTTTGTCCAATTGTGCCTCCCTCCCTTGAAATAAGCAGGACACCATCATACAAGGATCTTGGCATTGCTTAAAATCATTTATTTACTAATTTTCTTTACAAAATATATTAAAGCAGTACACACTTCCCTGATTTCATCAGAGACATTTTCACTCCAGCTTCTTCACAGGAGCAGCCCATTACAATTACTCCTTTGAAATGCTTCCAAGTTCATAAATTAAGTAGTTTGTCGGGAGATCTCGCTGGCATCCCCTTTGAGGTAGGTTCGGGATGTGGATGTGCGGACCCGTGGGAGTGTCCTCGGCAGTGTAGGCGTCGGCTTGAGTGGGCCCTTGCCCTTCCCCAGAGCTGATTGCTGGCATCTGGAATGGAGCAGAAACAAAGAGTTTCGGGAACGCTGCTGACACAAGCACCAAGGCTGGTGGGACCGCACAGTGGGCCAGAAGACCGGCTGCCAAAACTTCAGACGCGTTTTGATGGTTTTGAGCTCCACAGTCGCTAATGGGATTCTAACCCAGTGGCGGATCCAGGGGTGGCCTAGGGGGGGACACTTTTTGCCAACTTACAGGGGCAAAGTGGCACTTTTTGCCTACCTTTCAGGCAGCTATCTAGGGGGGGGCAAAAACCCCATTACCCCCCTCTCCCCCTGTATCCGCGCCTGCTCCAACCGAGCGCGTGACCCCACCAATAAATTGCTCTCAGAACGAGGAATCCATTGATCGGGTCACACGTTCGGTCCGAGCCCCATTCAGCAACCGTGGAGCTCTGAACGCGTCTGTGAGTTTGACCGCCTGCACCGGTCTTCTGGTCCACCGTGTGAGCCAGCTGGGGCGGGGCCAGGCGGGGCGGCTTGGCTTTGTTGCGAGTCCCGTCCGCTAGGGCGAGCCGAAGCGCCTGCAACGCGGAGAGTAGGCCGTACCGCCGCACACGCCTGCGCGCCGGGCGGCCTATCCCCTCATTACCATTACCATTAAGGGCTAGACCACACATGATCATATGCCATTTCGGGCCCGACACATGCCCGCCTGCACTGCAAAACGAGACATGGCCGTCCTTACTAAGGTGACACTTTATCCCGGCGGAGAAGAACCTCAAGCGGCTACGACTCCCACTCACAGTATGGCCAGTCAGGGTGAAGGAGTACATCCCCCCACTGCAAGTACTGCAAGGCGCTAAAGGCCTCTGGCTCGCCGGTGACCGGTCGGACAATGCACCACGCGTTGACAAGGCCAAGACATGGCGTCCCGGTCCCGGTGGGGTTGCCGGCGCGAGAGGGTTGGGTGGAACGACGTAGCACTTTCGGAATCGGGCTGGCCGGCGTAGAGGCATCTCGTCAGAGGGCGGGTGGGCACCCGGCCGGCACTAGCGGTGCGGAATCCAATGGTGGAGCGGCCAAAAGCGCGCGGCCAGGGCATGGCCAGGGCCGGGGGAGGGGAGGGGAGATTTATGAGAGCAGTTTGCGTACTTGCGTTTGGCATTTGCTAGGTGGATCCTAGCCCCAGCAGACTGATTCCGAGAGTCGTTTTCGTCGCTCTGTCGCTCTCGCACCTACAGGGGACGCCCCATGAGTGCGAGAGAGACAGCGCGACGAGAACGACTCTCGGAATCAGTTTGCTGGGACTCGACGGGGCCGTAGTGCCGGGCGGCGACGGCCTTCCAACCTGCCACGCCGCATCCCTGCCCTGCTACCTCGTCTCGGCGGTCAAGCTGGTCAGCAAACAGTCCCAGCAGCGGTCCGTCGCTCTGTCTCTCTCGCACTCGTGGGGCGCCCCGTCAGCGCGCGAGGGAGACAGAGCGACGCGGTGCTCCGTTCGGACCGAGCCCGCGGAGGGACGTCTTTAAATAGACGCCGCCAGCGCGCCCATCGGCCACACGCCCTACTTGAACGCCTCGCGGACGCGGCGGACGCGGCGGACGCCACGCGCCACGCCGTTTTGCAGCAATCAGAGGGACGTTGTCGGGCTGCCTCGCGCCGGGGCGGTGCACTGAAGGGCCCCGGTACACTGTACGCCCCCTCCCTTCCATCAACAAAACTAACAGAACCTCTAATTTGGGAGCGCGGACTTAAGTGTTCGGCGGGGGCTCTGCGATGGAGTCAGGTGACAGGGCACAGTGGGCCAGAAGACCGGTGCAGGTGGCCACAATTCTAGACGCGTTTAGAGCTCCAGTGTCGCTACATGGGTCTCGAGCGGAACGTGTGGCCCCACCAATAGATTCCTCGTTCGGAGAGCAATCCATTGGTGGGGTCACACGTTCGGTTCTAGTCCCACTTAGCGACTCTGGAGCTCAAAACGCGTCAAAGAATTTTGGCCGGCTGCGCCGGTCTTCTAGCCCACTGTGGCAGAGGGCTGGCGGAGCGGAGGAATTTTTCCGCTCGAGAAAAGTGTACTTTTTGGCAGCTTGCGGGCTGCTTATAAAGCCCGCCCTGACGGACAAGCAAGGGGCGGGACCGCGGGACCGCGGCACTCGCAAAGCGTGTTTTGCCGCGCGGTCGGCCCTCTCACTCCCACGTACACACACCACTCACACACCCTCACTCTCTCATACACACATTAACACGTGTGTGTGTGTGTGTGTGTGCGCGCGGAAGAGGGGGGAGGGCTTCTTATTTTGCTGAGGATTCTTGGGATATTTTTACGTGGCGACGCTTATTTATAATTCGCGTCGATCGCTGTCGAGTCGCGGCACTCCGAGACCCCCATCGCGCGGGTCGCTCGCCGTCGAAGTGAGAAAACACCGTTTTCCTGTTTCAAAATGCTCCCACTGTTAAAATCAAGTCGAAGAGAACCGCTTTCAAAACCGAACTACTCTGTTAAATCAGCGTCGCGTGCCGACTCAGCGCACAACCACGTCCTTCCCCCAATAAAATCCTCCCCGTTGGCCGACGGGGCGCGCCGCATGGGACTCATTCCGAAAGTCGCTTTCGTCGCTCTGTCTCTCTCGCACCTGCAAGGGGCGCCCCACGAGGGCGAGAGAGACAGAGCGACGAAAGCGGCCCTCGGAATCAGTCAGCTGGTCCCATTCAGAAATCGGCAACAAGATCGCCCGCGGCCCGCCAAGCGCTCCTGGCCGTGGCCATCTGTCATCTTGAGCCTCTCTACGCGACCTGGGCGGCCTGTGTGGTTCCGCGGCGCGTTTTTCGGCTGTTGCTTTATCCGATGCGGTTCGCCCTGGCGTCCGCTCGGCTTGCTTCGCTTGCTACCGGGCGGCCTGCCAGGGAAGCCCCAGCAGGCGCGCCGCCGTACAGCGGGGAACGGCGCACTGATTCCTGTCGCTCTGTCTCTCTCGCACCTCCCCGGCACGCCCCACGAGTGCGAGAGAGACGGAGCGTTGAGCGCGGTGGTCGGAATCAGTGTGCAGGCCAACAGGCACCCCCCCTTTTTCCGCGCGTTGTTTTCAGGTCCATTCAAAACGGCCACCCCGCCATTGTGCGGATGTGTTTAAACGGCCCTCGCCCCCTCCGCCTCCCCACCCCTTTTACACGCCGCGGCTCGGCGGCTACTCTAGCGTGCTGAGCCGCACCCCCACCCCACCCCACTGTCCACCTCAATGGGATCGCTCATGTCGGCGAGGGGCAGCCAGAGCCAGGGGGCTCGGGACTCGGGCGCCAACACGCGTTTTTGATTAAGCTACTCTATCAATTTGTCGGCGGATTGTCATGCTTGTCATGATGCAGACAGGCAGGCGGACAGACAGGAGTGGCAGGAACACTCAGACAGACAGACAGACAGACAGACAGACCGACCTCACAGGAGAGGCTTCTCCTTGAAGACGGCCTCGGCCGGCATCGGATGGCGTATTCCCTATGATGTTCTATTCTGAGTGCTTTTCGAGTGCGGGGCGAAGCGCGAAGCTCGAGCAGTCCGTTGGCATTGCCTGGGGCGAGGTTACAGTGCCTCGCCCCGAGCGAGGTGCCGGTAGGCAACCCAGGCTGCTCGTCGAATGGTTCCGTCTGACCTTAAGTCAGCTGTTCCCAACCTTTTTCGGTTCGCGACCCCAAATTTGCAACAAAAAATTTCCGCGACCCCCAGGAAAAATTTCGCGACCCCACGCGACCCCTCCTTTAGCATGCCTTTGTTACGGAGTGTGATTATCTGCCTTAGTTTGGGAGCAGTATTGCCGTAAAGTTGATCAAAACGGTCACAAATGTCTTTGAAAAATCGTGTTTTGGGCCGACTTTAAGCAGCCTTTGCGTCTGATCCGAGGCGGTATTTCATCCTCCCTCAACGGGCATTTGGTCTTTGGACCTTCCTTTAACATGCCTTTGTTACGGAGTGCGATTATCGGCCTTAGTTTCGGAGCAGTATTGTCTCAAAGTTGATGAAAACAGTCAAAAATGCCTTTGAATGCCATTTTGATCCACTTTGAGACAATACTGCTCCGAAACTAAGGCCGATAATCGCACTCCGTAACAAAGGCATGCTAAAGGAAGGTCCAAAGACCAAATGCCCGCTGAGGGAGGACGAAATACCGCTTCTGATCAGACGCAGTTGCTGCTTAAAGTCGGCCTAAAACACGAGTTTTCAAAGGCATTTTCGACCGTTTTGAACAATTCTGCCAGCGTCCCCTATGGGTGCGAGGGAGACAGAGCGACTTCCGTACGACTGGAAGGCCTTGCCGGGGCGTACCTTCGGTACCTTGGCCTTGGCGCCACGTCGCGTTCAGAGCAGGCCCGCGTAGAGGACCCAGAGGGCGACGAGCAGGAAGATGAGGATCAGGTAGGTCATGATGAGGCTGCCGGCCTCGGACGCGGGGGCGGGCATGGCGGCGGCGAACCTCGGCGAGGCTGGCGGAAGGGCGCTGGCGAGGGCGAAGCGAGGGGCTATCCTGGACACGGCGCGGGACGTGACTGGCCGCCACCTCGGACCGTCTCGCCACCGGGACCGGTCCCCGGGCCCGGGCAGCCCAGGGCGTCCCTCGGCGCCTGGACGCGGCTACGCGGCGGCCTGCCCCTCCCCTCCCCCTCGCCCTGCAACCCCCCTCTCCCCTCCCCTCGCACGCCCCCGCACGCGCCGGGCGCCTCCTCTCGGGATGCCTCTCGATGCCACCAACCCCTGCTGACTGATTCGTTTTCGTCGCTCTGTCTCTCTCGCACTCGTGGGGCTTCCCCTATAGGTGCGAGAGAGACAGAGCGACGACATCGGTTCTCGGAATCGGTCTGCTGTTATGATTTCGGCGAGTAGTGGGGGTAAAGGACACATGTCCTCTGTCAGCTCCAGGGCGTCACCGTCAACAACGACACGCACCACCCTGTCAACCTGTCGTCACCCGCGTTCCCGGGGGTGAAATCAAGACTTCCATTGGGGTTCTCTATCGGCCTCCGCATGGCAAAAATAGGAGCCTGTTGGTTTTACGAGGAAAACATTTTTTCAGTATTTGTTTGATTATTTCCTTTTTCTCTCCCTCAACATAATGGACAAAAGCAAATTTTTATGGGGAAAGGCTAGAACTTAGCAAGCTAATCATGAATTAAATACACGTAAGATTGGAATTGAAGTGTCTAGCACGCAAATTTAACTCGTTTTGCTTTGAGGGCTGTTTGCTTCTGCTTGTTCTGCTTTGCTTTGTGGATTTCTCAGCTTTGCGTCGCTAGCCTCGCCTAGAGCCGCCTCCCTCGTGCCTCATGTTGAACTTTTCATACTGCAGGCGTAGTGTGAGAGATGTGTCGTCTGCTAGAAAGGTATCTTTTATTTTGTGAATGCCCAGTTTTTATCAAGCAGCAGAACACGTGTAATCAGTTGTCATAGATTGACGGTATTTTTACCTGTAAAAAGGACCCGCGATTGACGACAATCTAATGTCCGAGAAGAAGATACTGTGCATTTGCCTCGGTAATAACGTGTATATATGTCAAGCTGCTGAGCATTTTAGGTTATTAAGTGTCCTCAGTTTCGAGTGAACTTTGTTGGCTGCATTTTTGAACTGAGTTGCTTTGAATAAAGTTTTAAATTTTAAAATACGCTTCACTATTAACAAATTTCAACATACGGTGTTTCACTTTTTAAACAGCGACCTCTACTTTTTGTTGTGACTGATGAAATTAAATCAATACAGGCTGCTTAATAGCGAAAAAAATTATGCTGTGTCTCTGATATTATGTTTAAATGTCTGAAATTAGACACTGTACAAATTGTTTTGTTCTTTGTTTGTAGGCAATATTTGCCGCTCACCTATAGCTGAGGCAGTGTTTGCTAAATTGATCAAGGAGAGGGGCCTCGACGAAACCTGGAGTGTTGACAGCGCAGCTTTAGGATCTTGGCATGTAGGAAACTCACCCGACCCGAGAGCTCTCTCGACTTTGAAAAAGCACAAAGTCCCTTACAATAATAGGGCTCGACAAGTAAGAGCCATTCTCCGTGTCTGTAACTTAGTTCCATAGTGATGATGTTGCCTCATGAGTGTATTTCTTTCCATGCAGATAACCAAAGGAGATTTTGAAAAGTTTGATTATATCTTTGGTATGGATGATGAAAATATGTCTGCTCTTCAACATAAAGCACCCAAAAGTTCAAAGGCTGAATTGCTTCTACTTGGTTCTTTTGATCCAGAAAATGATAGAATTATTCGTGACCCCTACTATGTAAGTATGCATTGTCCTCTCACATAACTGCAGTTCATACAGTTACACTTCCAATAACCAATAATTCATCATTGCAGGACGATGGTGATGCTGGGTTCGAGAAGTGCTACCAACAGTGCATGAGGTCCTGCGCTGCGTTCCTGGATAAACACGCTGCTTGACCTGTCCATACACGGTACATTCCAATTTGATACAAATTCTATTTTGGCTCTCTACTTTTAATAAACAGCTTCTACTTTCTGTTGCAAATGCATATGTACCTACCTCACCCTCACCAGATAGTGTGAACACATCAATGTTGGAAATTCATATACACTCTGAGATGCCTCACTTGTGCAACCAGCTGTAGAATTGTCACGCACTGTTCCATAACTTCACAGCGCTACCATAACATTGTAATTGCATGGGAAAAGAGACTGATACGCCCAGCAAGCCGAACTCCGACTCAATGTAAGTGATCTCATATTTGTTAGAATGGGAATCGTATCACAGCTGTTTGAATTCAATGCCACATTTGCTTGATCGCAAGTCCAGATTCTCTGTATGGCTGAGTAGGCTTAGTCAAGTATAAACGATTGTGACTCAATATTCTGAAAAGTGCGATCAAGTTTAGGAAATTCACAGTTTACAATTCACAGATAGGGTGAGGGGTGAGGTGGGGAACTGTGAATTGTGATGACTCCCCGCCTCACCCCTCACCCTATCTGTGAATTGTGAACTGAAAATTTCCTTAACTTGATATAGCCTCACTGTCACGGGGTAAAGCATCCCTGCGAGGCGAACCTGCGTGGGGTATTGACGACAGCGGTGGGAGGCTGGCCTGGCTGGCCATACCCCACGCTCGCCTTACTGTGCATTCGCTCAGACCTGAGCCAGCGGCGACCAAAGGAAAAGTTAAACAGCCGAACCCCACCGGGGGCCTCATTGTCCGAGTGCTGTTCCGGTGCGTTATAAGGGTTCGACCCTTTGTTTCGCTCGTTGTCTGGAGGCTGTTTTCCACACTCATGATGGCACCAAGAAAAGGCCTGCATAGCAAAGGGTCGCCGCTGGCTCAGGTCTGAGCGAATGTACAGTACAGTGCCGTGGCCGGCCGTGCCGCAGAGGCACTGGCGGAGGCGGAGAACTTTGGCGGATTGCCAATGCAGGGCATCATCTTGGCGTCAGTTGAGTGCGCTTGCGGAGCGCCCCCCCCCTCCCCTTGACGCCACCCTTCCAGCCCCCTCCCCCTCCCCCCGCCTCCGCATCATTAACCCGGCACAAAAGCGTCTCCCCCGCGATAACCCGGCGGCCCCAATCACTGGCAATCAAACAACAAACAAGGCATCGCGAGCGGCGGCTGTCTTGCTGTCCTGCCCTCTCCTGCCAGGAGGACGAGGGCTTCGGAAGCCACCATCACACAGCAGAGACTGATTCAGAGGGTCGCTTTCGTCGCCCTGTCTCTCTCGCACCTACAGGGGACGCCCCATGAGTGCGAGAGAGACAGAGCGACGAAAACGACCCCACGGAATCGGTCGGCTGACCATGGCCGGCCAGGCGGAGGGGTGGGTGGGTGGGAGTTGGCCGTTGAACGTCGCAACGCCCGTTTTTGCCGGAACCGTTTTTTCGTGGGTTCCGAGTGGCGGCTGCCCTTGGCTGCCGACGGCATGCCGCCCTGCTGCCCTGCCGCAAAACTCGAGACGCGTTTTGAGCTCCAGAGTCGCGAAACGGGACTAGAACGAAGCGTGTGACCCCACCAATGGATTCCTCATTCCTAGAGCAATCCTTTGGTGGGGTCACACGTTCAGTTCGAGTCCCACTTAGCGACTCTGGAGCTCAAAACGCGTCCGGGATTTTGACCGCCGCCACCGGTCCTCTGGCGAATCCACTGTGTGCGCCGCCGCCGCGCCGCCGCCGTGCCGCCGCCGTGCCGCGACAAGGCAACAAGGCCCTCCGCCTCGCAAGCGCCGCTCATCCGACTCTCAAGCGCCGAGCGCCCTCAAGCCAAGAGCCGCTTCGGCACTTTGCGGCTCTCCAGCCTCCCGACTCCGGAGGACCGTTTCGTCGCTCCGTCTCTCTCGCACCCTCAGGGGACGCCCCTGGAGTGCGAGAGAGACAGAGCGACGAAACGATTTTTCGGAATCAGTCGGCAGGCGCCCCGTCGCGGCACGAGCAGCGAAAGCAGCGCAAGCACAACACGGGTCTCGATGGGCAGCCTTTCGCCACCGCGTGAAAATCCGGTGAAAATATCGGTGATGCACCGATCGACGAAGTGGGGGCACCCGGGCCGGAGGTGGCTGACAGGGGGTCGCCCCACAGTGGGCCAGAAGGCCGGTGGAGGCCGCACAAAACTCTAGACGCGTTAGCTCCAGGGTCGCTAGATGAGACTCGGACCGAGCGTGTGACCCCACCAATGGATTCCTCGTTCGGAGAGCAATCCATTGGTGGGGTCACACGTTCGGTTCGAGTCCCATTTAGCGACTCTGGAGCTCAAAACGCGTCTAGAGTTTCAGCCGCCTCCACCGGTCTTCTCGCCCACTGCGCGCCCTGTGCAGCCCGGAAACGCACGCACTTTCCATGCCAATGCCGCCACCCGCCTGTCATCAAATCTGCGCAACGTCTCCACCGCGTCTCGGCCGCCCCTCACTTCCCCCAGGACCGGCCTGGATGGCTGCGACGGGGCAGGGCCGGCGGGGCGAGCACCCCGCCCCTCCTCGCGGTGCCAAGCAGGGCGTGGCGGGGCGTGGCGGGGCGCGGCGGGGCGTGGCGGGGCGTGGCGGGGCGTGGCGGGGCGTGGCGGGCGTGGCGGGGCGTGGCGGGGCGCGGCGGGGTTCGCGGCGCGGGGGCGCCAGGGCGGCAACCTCCGCACCCGCAGCCTCGGCTTTTGCTGGCCGAGGATCACACGGCCGAGATGATCCACGCCGCCACCGCCACGGGCAGAGGCGCGCAGAGGCCGGGCCGGCCCGGGCGGGGTCCGAGGCCGTGGCGCCGAGCGCGCCGAGGCCGGGCCCTACTTCGCCTGCTTCGCCACACGGCCCCCTGGATGAGCGCAGCAGGATGGTGGCGATCCTCGGTGCCCCCCACCACCGCCACGCCCCCGGCACGGAGAGAGGGTAGCTGCGCAGCCTCCCCCGCCCCTGCTGGAGCCGAGCACGGCGAGCGAGGGGTGGGCGCCCCCTCCCCCTCCCCGCTGTGCCCGTTGCGCGCCCGGCCCGCAGGCCCGCCACCCCCTCAACTAGGCGCCCCACGCCCCCAGCGTGAGGCGCTGCCGCCCTGCCGCCCCGCCGCCCTGGCAGAGCCGTACTCGCCGTTGGCGTGCTCGCCGCGCTCGTGCGTACCAGTGTGCCAGTGCATCGTGCCGTCATGGACGTCGTGGACACGCCGAGACGGTGGTCGGGGAGGCCGAGCTCCAGGTGGTGATGGTGGCTGCTGGCTGCGACCCTGCGGTGAGTGCAAGCGACGCCGCGCCACGCCAAACCCTGCGCACTCGTTCCGAGAGTCGTTTCCGTCGCTCTGCCCGTCTCGCACTCACTGGGCGTCCCGTGTAGGTGCGAGAGAGACAGAACGAGTCTCGGAATGAGTGTGCAGCCGAGGCTGGACGAGGCCCAGGCGGCCCCGCGCCGCAGCTGTGCGCCGAGCTGGGCGTAGCGTAGAGGGCGGCCCTCTCCGCCCTCTCGGCCCGCTGGGGGGAGTGGTCCGGGAGTGGTCCGCGCTACGCGGCTCTACGGCAGCCTGCCTGCCAGGGCCACCAGGACCGCCAGGGCGCCCTAACCTCACCGCGCCAGCCTCCCTGGCCCCTGCAGCCTTGCCGCCCTTCTTGGCTGCGTCCAGCACGGCCTCGGCCGGTCGCGGCCGTCGAGGCCTCCGCCGACAAGCGCTCATCTCCGCGACCGCGCGTGCGTGCGTGCGTGTGTGTGTGTGTGTGTGTAAGTGCATGTGTGCGCGGGGCGGGGTGGGGGTGGGGAGGGGCAGTGGGACATGAAGACACAGTCCGGTCGATCACCCCCTGACAAGTGTAGCAGTGCGGTGCTGGAGCCGGAGTGTCTGCAAGACGCGCACGCCGAAGGAAAGAATCCCCCGCGGGCGGAAGGGCGACAACTGTCGAAACACAACACACACTTTGTTGTGAATAAACCATCCCATTGAGTCGGCCGTCCGCGCCACTGCACTGCCAGGCCCTGCCAGTGTAGCCAACCTGTCCGCCTGTCTGTCGATCGGAAATGAACAGCGGAGACGATTAATGTTTCAGCGGCCACCGGCTGCGCGGCTGCCAGGGAGCAGCGACTGTCTCTCTCGCACCTTGACGGGACGCCCCGTGAGTGCGAGAGAGACGGAGAGCGTTGTTAGGCCGCGGCCGAGGGAAAGCCAGACCGTGGCCATCATAATCAGCGGGTCTTGTCTGCGGCCCTAGTTCGCGTTTCGTCCGCGGTAAACAGCCGGGGGCGCTGTGCGGCGCCGAGGCTGCTTTCCGCCAGCGACATTGACATTACTTCGGGGTAGTTCGGGCGGGCATTCGCATCCTCGCCGACCCGAGCGATGATGGATGAAAACCGGATAAAAATGTCACCGGATGTGCCCGCCAAACAAAAATCTCAGATTGCCGACTCTGAGCGTCTCGAGGGCGAATGAAGAGTCCGGCACAGTGGGCCAGAAGACCGTCGCTGGTGGCCGAAACTCTAGACGCGTTTCGAGCTCCAGAGTAGCTAAGCAGGACCTCAAACCGAACGTGTGACTCCCGTTTCGCGGTCGACGCTCCGGCAAAGTGGACACGAGGTCGCTGTAAATTATTTGGCAGGGCGCAAGGGGCCTCCACCGTCGGCACTCCGTGACACTGGTTAAAGCTGCGTTTCTTATTCCGAACGAACCCCAGAGAGAGCCCGCTTGCAAATTTATCCCCGGCGCGGAAAATGCCTTTTCCTGAAGCTGCCAATACTCGGGGCGAAGTGCTTAGCATTCCTCGGCCAGCAAGCGAAGCAAGCCAGCACACAGTGGGCCAGAAGACCGGTGGAGGCGGCCAAAACTCTGGGCGCGTTTTGAGCTCCAGAGTCGCTAATTGGAGTCGAACCGAACGAGTGACCCCACCAATGGATTGCTCTCCAAACGAGCAATCCATTGGTGGGGTCACGTTCGGTTCGAGTCCCATTTAGCGACTCTTGAGCTCAAAACAGGCCAATAATTTTTCCGCCTCCACCGGTCTTCTGGCCCACTGTGCAGCAACACGGCCGTCCGTTTTTCGCACCCCTCGACAGCCTCGCTACTCGCTCCACTGTTGCTCCGCGAATTCGGAACGAGTTACACAGTGCACCGCCCGGCCCGCGCGCAGAGGGGCGCAGAGCCCGGCAGAGCGCAAAGAAGTAACGAATCGAAAATAAGTCTTCGGAAGCTGAGGATTTGGAGTGAGATGCGCGCTCCTTCAACTCCCGCGCCCCCTCCCCGCCGACTTCCGGGTGCCCCGCCCCCTCCCCTCCGCCCCCTCCCCGGCCGCAGCCCCTCCCCCGCCCCTCCACCTCCCGAAATCGATTGGACTGGCGCTGCCTGGCAGGCTGGCAGGCCTCGCGCACCGCGGCCGGGCTGCGCTGCGAGAGCGACAAGGACAGGCAGAGGGGGCCGGCGGGCTGAAACACGGCCAGCCTCCCAGAATGCATTAAGGCACCTCTCTTTTTTGCTGCACGAGATTTTGCTTTGTGAATGTAAATGCGCGGCGACATGTTGTTGTTGTTGTTGTTTTGAGTGGTGCTGCGCGCTGATTCTATTTTGTTGTTGCTTTTTTTTTTGCAGGCCACTTAAGGGTGCCGATGATCCGCGGATGTCCCGAACGACACAACGGCGCTCCCGCACCCGCTCCATGTGGTGAGTCACAAGGACAGAAAAAAACTAACGACAATAACCAACAAAGAAAAACAAAAAAACAACAAGAAAGGCGCCTGCGAGCTTCGGGGTAGGCAGCCCGCGGGGGCGACGGACTCGGCGGGTTGCCTATGCTGCAGTCGGCGGGCGGCGGCGCCGGGGAGCCCCGACCGACACCCCGCCGCCCCGGGGCAGTGCTGCCACACTAGTAGACGAGCCATTCCTCGTCGCCCTTTTTGGGGTGTAGTGTTCTGCTGTTCCTTGGGTTGCCTTTACCGACTTGGGCCTTTCTTTGTGTGCAGGTTGGCTGACGAGCCATCAGCAGAACAACATTCTCCAGGACTTTGATCTACAACAGCGCCAACGGAAAGCCCAGGTTTGTCGCGCGGGAAGACGCGCACCCCACTGGTAGAACTGAAGCCTACTTTTACGCCTCTCTTCAAGCTTAGTGGTTATGCTTCGTCGAGCGTAGTTGTCTGCTTGAATGAAGCGTAAAACTCCAGTTTCACCAGTGCACTATCAGATGATTCCCCCTTTTTTGTGGTTGACGTTCTAATACGCTTCTTGTCTGTGGAGGCCTAACAGCGTCGATGATGATGGTAAAAATAAGCGGTGTTTTTTTTTTCGTTTGCAGAAACCACAGAGGGTGCCGGAGGGGGGCTGGATTGAGAAAGACCAGAATGGATCGGCTTCAAAGACAGTGAGTGACTTGCGGTTGAGAGATTCTGGCACCGAATAGGGGTTCAAATTGCCATAGTTAAAATGCTTCTTAAATTAGTAAAATAAACATAAAAGAGTTAACTCTTTTCTGGATATTAAACTATTAAATTAAAAAGCCAAGAAATCAGTTAAGAATCCACTAAAAGAGGACCATGAGTGTTGACACGACTGAAGATTTCATCTAGAGATCTAACTGACTACTGATCTCGGTTCGGTGGCTTCAAGTTTGTTGACGTCCGTCCTGACGACCGTGCTGTGTTGCAGGTGGAGCGACGTCCAGCCAAGCAGCACGCGGTGCCGAGTGCGGGGGCGCGGGGGCGGGCGTCGGGGGGCGGTTGGGCGGCGCCGGGGGCGGGCGTGACCGGGCGGCGCGCCGCGTCCGTAGAGTTCCTGATCGGCGGGCCCGGCCAGGGTGGCCAGGGTCGCCAGGGTCGCCAGGGTGTCGGCGACGGCCAGCACCGCGCCGCGCGAGGCGCCCCCGCTGCAGGCCCTCTAGGCTGCGCCCCGGGCTGCCCACCAGACTGCCGCGGCGCCTGCCCGCCGGGCTGCACGGGCTGCCCGCCGGACTGTCCGGAGGCGTCGGGGGGCGTCGGCGACGACGGCTACCCGGTGCCGGCGCCGCGCACCTACCGTGAGACGCAGACTCTGCCCTTCCCCGTGCCGCGGAAGCAGCAGACGCAGGTCGCGCAGGTGGACGAGGCCCCCCGTGGGGCGCACGGCGCGCGGGGCCGCGGGGCGCGGGGCGGCACGCGGGGCCATGGCGGCGCGGCCCCCGTCGGCGCGCCGGCCGGGCCGGGAGTGCCGGGAGGACCGCCAGTGTCGCAGCGGTCGCTCGGGCGGGAGGACGCCCGCCGCCGAGTCCTGCGCTACGTGGGCGGGCTGGGCGAGCAGGGCCGCAGTCTCGAGGACCTGGACCTGCTAGCGTCCGTGTCGCGCGACCTCGCCGTGCCCGACCTCGTCCCCGGGCTGCGCGGCGACCTCGACAGCTACCGCGTGTACACCGAGGCCGTCCGCCGCTTGCAGACCCCTGGGGGGCAAGGCCCAGCGGGGCCCGCGCAGGGCCACGGCCACGGCCACGGCCACGGCCAGGGCGGCGCGCACCCCGCCGGCCGGGGCAGCGTCAGCGACCACTACAGCAGCGACTTCCTGCTGAGCTGCGAGAGCGAGATCGGCGAGGAGCTCTTCGACGAGGACGGCGTCTCCGTCGGGCCGAGCACCTTCTGCGAGACGGCGGGCGACTCCGGCGTCGAGTCCACGCACAGCATGCAGTCGTACAGGTGAGCGCACTGCAACGCTCCACGCCGGATCAGCTGCGGCGTCACGCCAGACTCATTTCGTGAGTCCTTCTCGCACACATGGCGGTCAGTCTGCTGACGTCTCGAAGACCGTTCGAATGCCACCGAGGGCGTCAGCGTGGCTGGCCTGAACTTCCCTTCCCTTCCCGACGTGCACGTCCTTAGAGACCCGGCACTACACTGCCAGATAACAAGCACCACTTAGAGCTTTATGAGACACGGTCCCCAACCAAACCGCGGCGCCATCGGTCGTCGTTCTCCCCGGTGTCTCCCGCCACACCGGCCGGATAGACTCATTCCGAGAGTCTCGCTCTGTCTCTCTTGCACCTGCACGGGACGCCCCATGAGTGCGAGAGGGACAGAGCGACGAAAACGACTCCGTCTGCTGGCGCGCCGTTCGGCGGCCCAACACCAAGAGGCGCGGCGAGGACCCGGAGTGCGTGCTGCGTGTGGCAGTGTGGCGGCGCCGTGGGCGTGCGAGGCTAGAGGCGCTAGAGGCGAGACCCGGCAGCCCGCCGCGGCCCGGCACACTGGTCGGTGTTGCTGTTGCCGCTCCGGTCCGAAAAAGGAACTCCGCTGACAGCGCCGAGTGGACTGGGGCGCCGCTCTCCAAAATTCCAGGAAAAAAAATCCAGACAGCACATAAAAAAAACCAGGGCTGATGAGAAATACAAAAGCAAAACACAACAAATCAGAAATATGCGTATAAACATAGCCATGTCAAGGCATCATGATGCTTCGTGCGCTGTCAAATGAATCCGGTTAAAGGATTCATTGAACTCCAGGCCAGGGCACCACTAATTTAGCCAAGCCCCCAACCTACCCAATATTTACTGTTTTCTCACAAAAATGCTCTGGTAAAATTGAGGCGTAGTATTACGCCCTTCTTGAAGCCACCAAGAGCTCTCCGTACCTTTCCTCCTGTCTAAATGCATAGGGGGAATTGCCTCGAAGCGTAGTTGTACGCTTGAAGGATTCTTGAAGCCTCGTTCTACGCTTTAGTTTTACCAGTGTGAACCAGCATTAAAATACGGAAATAAACAATGCGTTTTCGAGTATTTTTCTCTGTGGTTGAGGAAGAAGCGCGCCATGCGTGGTGAGATGCGTATCGAGGCGATCTGTTCGATTGAACCGCCGGGCCACCCCACAGTGGGCCAGCCAGAACCGATCGGATCGACGACACTGTTTGGACATCGAACCAAAACAAAGTCGGTCGCCGATTTTCTGAGACTGTATTAGTTTAATCGATAGATGATATCACACACACACACACACACACACACAAACACAGACTTAGACACATAACTCTTCTCTCTCTCTCTCTCTCTCTCTCTCTCTCTCTCTCTCTCTCTCTCTCTCTGAGCGCTCTCACAGCTCTCACACAGTGCTCTCACACAGTGAGCAGCCCGAGGGCTTTCTTTTTACAAGGCGAGCCGTTTCGGTCAGCGTAGACCGCCACTGCGAACAAAGATGGACAGAGCCAGTCCGAATTAATGATGCGACCTCACGTGTGTGTGTGTGTGTGTGTGTGTGTGTGTGTGTGTGTCTGTGTGTGTGTCTGTGTGTCAGTCTGCCCGGGAATGTGTGTACGTGTGTGCGTCTCTGTGTGAGTACGTATGCGATATGCAGGGGACCTCTCATATGCCCCTGGCCGCGACCGCTAGTCCAACGCAACGTTCCCCCTCCCCCCCTCCCCCTCCGCCCGAGATCCGACCCACCATATTGGGCGTGGGCAGGACGTGGGCGCGGGACGCGTCGGACAGTCCGGAGAAAGAAATGAAGGGACGGAGAAAGAAACAGAGAGAGAGAGAGAGAGAGAGAGAGAGAGAGAGAGAGAGAGAGAGAGAGAGAGAGAGAGAGAGAGAGAGAGAGAGAGAGAGAGAGAGAGAGCAAAGTGGCGGGATTGTGTGTCTCGCATTATAGGCGCGCGCGCGGAGAGAGATTTCCCGCGTGTTCTTGGAGCCAACAATTGAATGGAGCAGAACAAACCGAAGCTAACTTTGGGATTTACCGCCTCGCGTGATCCGGATATACTGCGGGGGCTCTCGGCATGTTGTTGCCAACATAAGTGGGGAAAATTCCCACCATGCGCCGGGGTCCACAGGGTTGCCAACCTCAGCCTGGAGACAAACCTCAGCTTTCCTTTCGACAAGTTGCCTAGTAGGCAGGCACGCGATTGGCAACCCTTTCAACACTGGTATGCGTAGGGGGAATTTTTGCATTCTTATGTGGCAACACTGCGTGGGTGGCGAAGCAGCGCTAGAGTCCTTAAGTGGGGCTCATTGTAGGACTGTGGGGTAGGCAGGCCTGCCGGGCACCGGTGCGCCGCGGGCTGGCCCAGCCGCACTTTGCAGGCGTCTGCCACGTTGGGCGAGCTGGACTAGGCGGCAGGCTTGGGGACGAGCGAATGTTTTGAAATGGAATGGAATCAAATCGAACTGTAGGCCCTGAATTGGAATCACTTGATCTCTATCTCCAGGCAGTGATGCGGGTGCTGTTGGTTGCAGGGGCCACCCGCTGCCCAAGATCCAGGTGGGCCCCCTGGGGGTGGCGGCTCTGGCGTCGCGGTCGCCGAGCCCCGTGGACGCGCGCACCTACTCCAGTTCGTTCCCGCGACGGGCGGGCGGCCGCGCCCCGGAGGGCAAGGCGGCGGCGCGGCGGGGCGGCCGCGGGGCACGCCAGGGCCCCGCCAAGCAGGCCGTCAAGGCGGCCGGCAGACACGAGTCGCGGCGTGACGCCTCTGCCGCCGCGCCGCGCGCCGCGCCCGCCCCCACCAAGGCCGCCGTCGTGGCCGCGCCGCCCCCGGCCGCCAAGAAAAGCGGCGCCTCCAGCGGCGGCGAGGGCCCGCCCAGGAGCTTCTCGGCCGACAGCACCGCCAGGAGGAGCAGGTCGCGGTCCAGGTCCAGGACCAACAAAGAGTCCGACCGCGAGCTCAGCCCCGTCAGCTGGGTCGGCGGCACCGAGACCGGCGTCTTCCTGTGCAAGGCCGGCTGGATGCAGGTAGGCGAACACACTGTCTGACGGTGAACGGCTGCAGCGGGTGGAGATTTTCTCCATAATACAAACGAAATTCGTCAAAATATCTATAAAGTACAGTGAATTCTCAATGGTGTGTTATGAAGTCAGCTGCACCACCATAATATGGAGGTGCCTTTTTATTTGGCATCCCTGGGTCTTGTTACTTTTCGGAGTGAAGGTGTTGACTCTCGCTGTTCTCGTGCCCATGCCCTGCAGGTGTCCGCTCCCTCCGGCGACGAGGACTCGGGTCGCGAGCTTGAAAGGTAAGCAGACCGAGTTTCGTGAAAGTGCCTCTATGCTTCGCTAATTGCTCCTCCCCTCCTCCCTCCACTTGACCTTGACCGCCAACGAATGCTTCCAGGACGACCCAGAGGGGCAGGAGCAGGAGTCGAAGTTCCTCCCGGGGCCGGACGGGCCGCACGGCGCAGCAGTCCCACGCCACTCGGTGAGTGCAAGCAAAGCAATGCAACCGATATTCTTGCTGCCGCTGCCTTCTCCCAGCAGACTGATTCCGACCCCTCGCACTCCGACCACCCAAATTTTCCCAGTGAAGTGACCCTCCCTTCCCCGTTGCGCAGTGCCGCGGCGGACGCGGGCCACCGGGAGAACCGGCGCGCGGACCGCGCGGACCGGTACGCCGACGTGTGGGGCGCCGACGGCGTGCTGCTGCCCGTGCCGCGCGACCTCATGTCGGCCGAGTGGGCGGCCGACGACCGCGTCATCTCGCCGCCGGCGGGCTTCCGGGACGCCGTCCAGGACCACGACGAGCCCAGCAGCGACCACGGCTTCCTGGAGCGCGAAGTGGTGAGTGGCGCACAGTGGGCCAGAAGACCGGTGGAGGCGGCCAAAACTCTAGACGCGTTTTGAGCTCCAGAGTCGTTAAACAGACCTCGAACCGAACGTGTGATCCCACCAATGGATTCCTCGTTCGGAGAGCAATCCATTGGTGGGGTCACACTACGTGCGGTTCGAGTCCCATTTAGTGACTCTGGGGTCAAAACGCATCTAGAGTTTTTCGAAATTTTTCAAATACTCTTGAGTTTGTAGAGTGGCATGTTGGCTAACGCACTAACTTGGTGATGGTGGTGGCGGCGGCAGGGTTCGTACGACATGCGTCGCCGGAACTCGGAGGGGGCGGTGCCTCGCGGCAGGGTGCGGCGCGCCGTGCCGGACCTGGACGCCGACGCGCCCACCGGCAGCGTCGGCCGCCGACGCAGCACCGCGGCCAGGGAGATGGTGAGCGGGCTGGGCCACTAGTAAAACACACGACAGTCGTTTTCGTCGCTGTCTGTCTATAAGGGACGCCCGATGAGTGAGGGACGGACAGAGCGACGAACGACTCTCGGAATGAGTCTGCCAGAAGACCGGTGGAGGCGGTCAAAATCCCGAACGCGTTTTGAGCTCCAGCGTCGCTAAATGGGACTCGAACCGAACGTGTGACCCCACCAATGGATTGCTCTCCGAACGAGGAAGCCATTGGTGGGGTCACAAGATCGGTTCGAGTCCTGTTAAGCGACTCTGGGGCTCCAAAACGCGTCTGGAGTTTCGGCCACCTGCGCTGGTCTGTGCGGCGGGCGACGCATCCAGCTTGACGGTCTTGTCCTTCCAGACGCGCGTGCCGCTGCAGCAGCTGCAGCAGTCGCAGCAGCCGAAGCAGATGCAGCCGCCAGTGAAGCAGCAGCCAAAGCAGCAGCAGCCAGTAAAGCAGCAGCAGCAGCCGGCGGTCAAGCAGCCGAAGCAGCCCAAGCAGCCGCGGAGCCGCGACAAGAGCAGCAGCAGGGACCGCCTGTCGGAGAAGGGCCCCATCTACACGGACGACGACGAGGAGGAGGAGCAGTTGCAGAAAGGGTGAGGCCATCTGTCTCCGTCGTACAGTGGGCCAGGCGGCGCGTTTTGAGCTCCAGAGTCGCTAAATATGACTCGAACCGAACGTGTGACCCCACCAATGGATTGCTCTCTGAACGAGGAATCCATTGGTGGGGTCACACGCTCGATTCGAGTCCTGTTTAGCGACTCTGGAGCACAAAACGCGTTTAGATTTTTGGCCGCCTGCGCCAGTATCACGGGGTGTTCCGTGAAGAGTGCGATGGTGGCTGCTGCCGGCCTGGTCTGGGCAACACGCTGACAGTGACTGTGCTTGCTGTGCCTGCAGGGGTCGCCGCGGAGGCCGTGCGCCCAACGCCAGCCACTACGGTCGCACCAGGCTGCAGCCCTACGACACTTCGTCGGACAGCGACGAGTACAACAACTTCCCGTGAGTACACGCTCTGTTTGCAAAATTCTTGAAAATTCCCAGAAAATTTTTTGAACAGAAATAAAAATTGCATCCGATCTTCGGAAAATTCTAAAATTTCCAATGTTTCTATTTTGAATGAGTCTCTACCAGTTATAGTACATAAGAATCGATTTGAATGACAAGTCCCGGAAATGCCCAACAGAGCTCCAAAAGCCACTTTCCTGGATTTTCCAAATTAATTTTACTTGCTTTGTCTTTGTTTGCAAATTGATGGGTGGACGTAACAGAAACGTACAATCTTTGTGCAGGCGCCGTGCCCCGGCCTACAGCTCCGGGGGCCGCAGTGGCCGCGTGCCCAGGTCGCGGTCGCTGCAGCAGGTGCCGGCCGGGCAGCAGGGCCTGCAGCAAGGCCACCCGCAAGGCCATCCTCAAGGTCACCCTCAAGGTCACCCGCAAGGCCATCCTCAAGGTCACCCTCAAGGTCACCCTCAAGGCCACCCGCAAGGTCACCCTCAAGGTCAACAGCAAGGTCACAACCAGCCGCCGCCGCTGCCGCCGAAGGGACTGCCGCCGCCGCAGACGGACGGCGCGCGCAAGCCCTTCAAGGAGTCCAAGGCCAACATGCAGCGCCACTACCAGATGCAGTTCGACCGCGAGTTCCTGCAGGACCGGCAGCAGGAGCAGCTGCTGGCCAAGTTCCAGGAGGAGCTGCAACGCGTCGCCATGGAGACCCCCGTGGGCAAGTCCAGCAGCATGCCGCGCCAGTCCAGCGGCGGCACGTCGCAGCCCGGCTCGCAGCCCCCGGCCCAGCAGCCCTACCACCGGCCGCCCAAGCACCCCACCTCGGCGCAGCAGGCCTCCGTGCACGCCGTGCGCAGGCCCGCGCCCACCCGGGAGTCCACGTCACTGCCCCGGAGCGGCCGTAAGTACCGTCTCGTTCGAAAGTGCAGAGCAATCATTTTAAAGTGTGGCACACCATAGATGTTAGGTTAGGTAGTGAAGTAAATTAGCTTGTACTAAGTTTGCTCAAAATACTTCGTAAGGTTTTAAGAGTGCACTCAACGAAAACGAGACGCAAACTGATATTGGTCTTTTCGCTGCGCCGCCAGGCAAGACCAAGCCCAAGATGGCGGCGCCGTGCGACCTGACGGACCTCCACGAGGACGCCCTGCAGGACGCGCTGCAGGACGCGCGCCAGGTCCACGACTTCCTCCGCGGCAGCAACAGCCAGCGGAACGCGGCGCGCGCGCTGCTGGAGGGCCGCCGGCCCGACCAGCCCGGCGTGCCCGGCCCCAACGAGTACATGCCGCGCAACAAGGAGGAGGCCATCGCCATGGTGGCCGCCCACGCCCAGGGCAACGCGCTCGACCTGGTCACCGTGCCGGCCCGCAGGGACAGGTTCGAATCCAAACCACTCTGTTATTCAACGAAGTCACATTCGTTAGAATGTGAATTTTGTCACGTTCGTTTGAATGTGATGTCACATTTGTCCGTAACTCTAGTCACTAGACTCTTGTGCCATTTTGTTTCCCGCTGTTCCGTGACCCCCTTTTCCCTGTCCGCAGGTCCGGGGTGGTGACGTACGGGTCCGTCGGCAACGTGCAGTTCGGCGGCACGGTGTACCACGAGGACCTGGGCGCCACGTCGGACGGCGGGCTGGTGGCGTACCGGCCGGGCCCCAACAACAACGAGTTCTTCAACGACCACCTCATCAGCAACCAGTGCGAGCAGCTGCGCGCCAGCTACCCGGGCGGCTTCCAGCACCAGGACGCCGCCTTCCAGGCCAACAACTTCCAGGGGAACCTGCAGGGGAACCTGCAAGGCATGCCGCCACCGATGCAGCACAACACGCTTCCCGGTGGCTTTCAGGGCGGCCTCCAGGGCCTCCAGGGCTACCAGGGCAGTCTGCCGGCCGGGCTGCAGGCCGGCGGCCCCCAGGCTGTCTGGCAGCCGCAGCAGCAGCAGCAACTCCAGCAGCACCAGCCGCACTACGCCACGGCGCCCCGCACCCCGCGGCAGCAGCAACAACAACAACACATCCCCTACTCGTACAGGTGAGGCCAGCAACAAAAACAAAAGCGTCGGCCGGCGACTTCAACGCGCGGCGCCACCGGAGCGCTCTCGGAAACAGAGCTTTGTTTACTTATTTCTAAATTTGCTTGTGACAGTGCTCATCTGCCTCGTCGCTCCGAAGGCAACCTTCTGGACGCCCAAGCTCAAGGGTGAGTGTGTGTGTGTGTGTATGTATGTGTGCGCGCGTGCTTGCATGGTGTCCCCCCCTCCCCTTTCCCTCTCCCCCTGCCCCTCCCCCGCCCATTCATTGGGCTCACGCGACCGTTGGGAAAGGAAGTAGTGGGGGTAGACGGTTAGCTCCGCGTGCTGTGCGTGGGGAGGGTGCCGTGCCGTGCCGCTGTCGCCCTCACAGTTCACTCACAGTGTGCGCGCTGGCCGTTGCATTCGGGTCGTCGCTGCTGCACTCGTCTTCACTGCGGTTCTAACTTTCTGCACTCGCGGTTTGCAGCTACCCGACGCGTGTTTTAGTGAGTGTCCGTGTGTGAGTGAGTGTGTGTGAGTGTTGGCGGAAAGTGTTATTTTCGCCGGTGTTCGGGCTTCCATGTTGCGTGGGCAAACACAGCTCAACAGCTGATTCCTTTTGCAGAACCTGGAGCCCGGATCTGTCTCGAGCACGAACGGCCCCTGCAACGGTGAGTTGCTTACGGCATTCAGCGTTCAAATTGGTTTAAAACTTCAAATTGCCCTCTTGAAAAAAAAAAAAATTAAAAAAATTTTATTGTGTTTATTTGTTTGTTTGCAGCCGATCCACGACATCGGCACGCCGCGCGTGCAGCACCACTCGTACGGCGGCTTCCATTATGACCCCGAGTACGCCTACCACGGCAACCTGTCCCTCAGCACGGGTTTTTTAGACGCGCCGGAGAACCCCTTGCGCGAGCCGCGGCGGTGAGTCTGTGCACTAAGTAGACAGTGAGGTTTGCAGCGCGTGATGTTCCAACTGCACTGTTCTCGACCAAACTGTCACTGTCGAAAATAAGAAATGTGTTCCCCGCAGCTTCAGCAAGGATGTGACGCAGCTGTTCCGGCCGGCGCGGGCCGAGGCAGTGGGTGAGTTGTGGCACTCGGAGTGCGGTCGTGTCCGTAGTCATGTGGCTTCCCGCGAGCGACGCGCGCCGAGCCGGTGGACGAAGAAGTAGAGCACTGACTTTGGGGACGGCCGGGTTGGGCATCCGACACACTCTCGCGGAGGGCCAGGTAGCTTTGCAGTTCAAATCCCCTGCTGCCCTGTATATTTTTTTTTGTTTCAACCAAAACTATGTAACTTGGTTCAAACTCGACTTCGTCGCTCGCCCGCAAGTCAAATGACGGTTCGATTTGGTCGACAGGCCAGCAGGCTGTCTTTGAAGTCTCTTTCTCCCATTTCACTTCTTTTTCGTGATCAACCCATAAAGGCGGGAATACGCCTATCGCCTTTCTGCGGAGTTTTTACCTCTATCTTGAACATTTTGTTAAATTATTCCTTGCCCTGTCTGTCTCTTTCTGGCTCTCCTACGCCCGGTCCGCTCCGGACCGGAAACGCCTCCGAATCGGGACGCATTTTCCCGCCAAAACTGTCCGCATGGCATGGCATGCGAGGCGCCCCGCCCTGTGAAAGTGTGTGCGCGTGTTGGCGCGCGTGTGTGTGTGCGTGCACGTGCGCGTGTGTGTGTGCGTGTGCACGTCGTCGTGTCGGCGCGTGCAGTGCAAAATTCATTGGCTGTCGCTAGAGCCCCGCCCGCACCTGCACCGAAGCTGCCGTTCGGAGTCCATCTTTCTTCGACCTACACTCACAAAATCAACATCAATTTTTAAAAAAATCCCCACGAAAAAAAAAAATCACGAAATTTTTTGTATTCTTCTTGGAAAAGTCGCAGTAATTATTGTATGAAGTTTTTCTTTGCAGAGGGAATGCCATATTACTGTTTTGTATGGCGGTCCGAGTTTCCTCTAGTTTAATTTCTAGTCCAATTTTTGTGAGTGTATGATGGATCGGCAACGGCGTGGGCACCCATTTCTAGCAGGGCAAACGCACCGCACTTGAGGCACATTCCTCATGCGTTTTCCGTACTTTTCTCATTTTCGTTGTAATCACACGTCGTTTTGTCGTACTCTCTTTTCAACATCCTCCCACGTGTTGTTAGCTTCTATTTTTCGACTTTCTGCACATTCTTTTCCAAGTTTTTCGCTGAAGCGATCTGAAGGACCTGGTGTCCAGGGGTGGGGTCATCCGCATTAAATCCTTCGGGATCCTAACCTACTTACTAACTAATCAATCAATCTGGAAGAGATAATTTCAACCGAAAAATCTTAGAGCCAACCGAGTAACAAACTGTGTGTGATTAAACAAGAAACAGCTTTAAATAAACCAATTTGCTTGTTCGGTCCGAACTTCATGTGGTGGTGGTGATTTGTTGTGTGCGTAGAGAACAACACATGGCAATTTTGACGTCGGTGGTTGGAGGAGGGCGGTGCAGTAGGCCGGGGCCAGGGCCTACTCGAGGACGATGAGGACCGCACCGACCCGATGCAGCGCCTTGCACAAAGTACGGTTCACTTGGTGTGGCACGATGGCAGGCAACGGTAGGGCTCCTCACAAAGAAGCGGCAAAGACTCAAAATTCTAAAAAAAAATAATGAAAAATTTTATGATTGTCACATTTTAAAACGATGTTTACCAATCGGATCTTTTTAGCGCTCCTAAACTTTGCTCTTTGTAAAATCAATCTTTCTGTGTTATCGAAATAGTATTTTATTGAGACACAAAATTCTCTGTTTCACTAGAAATTCAAAGAGAGAAGGTGAAAAAAAAAGCGGTCCGAATTTCGTGCCAGCCCATTTGGCCGTACAGGTAGACGACACCTGTGGGAAGCTCAAAACTGAGAGAACACGCTAAACGTTTATGTACAATTTTGTACGTGGTGTTGCATGTTTTCAAACCTGCACAGTAAAAACAGTTCCTGGTTTTCCCAGGAAGCCTATGGTAAAGGCATAGGCGACTTCCAGGGAGTTTCTGGGAAAACCAGGAACCGGTTTCACCGTGTGTGTGACGTTTTGCATAAAATTGTGCTCAAATTTGCTTAAAATTAAGCATTTTTACGCGTAATATGATGCAAATTCCACGTAAGCACGAATTCGTGCAAGTTACACACGTACACAATGCTGCATAAACATTTAGTGTGAAACTTGGTCCCGGACGCTGTTAGCCGGGACGCTTCACAAACCCCTTCGGCGCCACTTGTCTCAAACTTCCAAATTGGCCGTCCCTCCCGGTTCACCTGAGGAGCAGACCTTTCTCTGGGTGCGCGGGACGGCATCCGAAACGCGCGTGGCTCTTCGAAGCGCCCTGTGGTGGCGAAAATCGCAAATCTCTCCGAAGAGTCGCGTCTTTCGGCCCACTTCAGTCAGGAGCAGAGGAGCGACCCCTTCCGTTCGTTGTCTTTGTGTGGAGTGGAGCTGGTTGCTGATTGTCACACTTTTACCTGTAGCGTGCTTTTCTCTTTGTTTTTGTTTCGTCTAACTAACTAACTTGAATGTCGTGCTCAATTCCTGCTCCTCGCTGCGTTCTCCCGACAAAAAGGAAAACTGCTAACATTACGTAGGGCACGTCTGTATCCCTGCGCCCTCGCAGCGCTCGTAGTTTTCGCTTTCTGATCTGAACTTATTTCACTGATTTACTTCGATTAAAAAATAAATAAAAAATCTTGTTGTTTTGAGACGACGTGCCCGTCTTCTTTTTGGCAGTGAGTCCCGTCCAGCCTAGTTAGGGGCTTGCAGCTCAAGGGGGAATCTCGGCTGGAACGAGATATCGATTCGAGATATCGATTTGGGTGTGCAGGCAAAACGGTGGACACGCTGGTCGAGCTTTCGTTTCGGAAACTTAATTTCCGAAAATTAAAAGTGTCGCGTGTGATGCCGCGTTCATTCTTTTCTCTTCGCGGGGGAAACATAAAAAAATACTCATCCAGCTTGTGCTTTTTCATGCTCATGAAGTAATGAACACGTTAGTGACTGCATGGGGGTGTGTTCGTGTGCTTCCACGCTGGCATGGCTTTTGGCGCGCTTGCGAAGTGCCTCCCGTTCATAGCTAGAACATTCCCTGCATGCCACCCACAGCCAAGGGGAAGATTCTTTCCTTTTTTGACAAACCTCCCTGCGTTTGCAGAGCATACATAAAAAGACAGTTAAAATAATGTTTGCTTGAATGCACAAAAAAGTCGTAAGTTCTTTCCCTTGGTTTGTCAGCCACTAGTCGCTCGTCCGTGTTCCCTGTATGCTTTCCCTTTCTCGCTTCCATCCCTCTCCCTCAGACACCCTGCGCGTCTCCTGCTGTCCAGTGCACTGTAAGCCGTCCTTGCCCGCAGGGTCCTCGAGCGAGTCCATCCTGAGTAAGGTGAAGAAGAGCCTGTCCATGGTCGTGCGGAAGGACAGCATCCACAAGGTCTGTACTCACTTCTGTACAAGTTTGTTGGAGATGTTACAGTTTCATTTTGTGACCTGGCGATACCCTGCGCCCGAGGGAGTCTCAAAGCTGACCTTTGACAGGGACCCAAGTGCAAGGAGAAGGACTGCCCGTGCCAGAAGGACAACCAGAAGGGTTGCCAGCAGCGCTACGCGCAGAAGCTGGCCACGGAGGGCCCCGCCCCGAACCAGCCCGCACCGCCGCCACCGCCGCTGCCGCCAACGCCCACCCCGGCCAGGAGGGAGTCGTCGGCGTCCTCCTGCTGCTCGGAGACGTGCTGCGTGGACAGCTCCTGCAAAATCTGCAAGGAGGCCATCGAAGGCACCACTCGGTAAGGACGGCCCCGCCACAGTGGGCCAGAAGACCGGTGGAGGCGGCCTGAATCCCGGACGCGTTTTGAGCTCAGAGTAGCTGAGTGGGACTCGAACCGAACGTCCATCAATGGATTGCTCTTCCAACGAGGAATCCATTGGTGGGGTCGCTAGCTAGGTTCGAGTCCTGCTTAGTGACCTTTGAGCCCAAAACGCGTCTAGACTTTTGGCCGCTGGCGCCGGTCTTCAGGTTCACTCAAGCCCCAGGCTCGATCCAAGGGCGTTGCCAAGGGCGGTTGCAGAGGGTCTTTGCGTTCCCAATGTGTGTCTTATCGCAGTTTTCTTCATTGAATCGAGTAACTCAGTGTTTCCGTCTTTCTTTCCTGCGCAGACTCGGCAACAACGTGCAGTGGGCCGACACCGCCAAGGAGCGGCCGCCCGCCGCACCAACGGCAGACAAAATCGAAAAACTGGAACCGGGTTCGATGCGCACGCTCAAGCCGCGCAAGGACAAGAAGTCCAAAGCGGACAAGGCCAAGAGCGACAAGGCCAAGCTCGACAAGGCGAAGGCGCGCGTCGAGAAGGCCGAGAAGGCCGAGAAAGCCGCCAAGGAGGCCGAAGCCAAAGCGCAGGCGGAGGCCAACGCCAGGGAAGCCGCCCGGGTCTTCTTGGGGTAGGTTCTTGCCCACCGCACCGCGCTGCAGCAGACGAAAAAGCGAGGGGGCAAAAACTCGCGCAATCATGTGTACACGGCCCCCGAAATCACACGCGAATCATTGAGAATCACGTGAAATCAAGCAATCTGAAATCAGCCAAAATCACTAAAATCGACCGAAATTAGGCAGAATCACACGAAACCAGGCCAAATCAGTCCGAAATCATTTCTTTCCGAACACAATCACACGCAATCACGCTCAACATCACCCTGGTGCGTCGCGAAATAAGGCAAAATCAGCCATGAAATCAATTAAAACCATGCGCAATCATTGCGTTTTCCGAATCATGTGTACACGAAAATCCCGAGTTTTTGCCCCCTCGCGAAAAAGACTCTTAAGTGTGCTGGTTTGAAACAACGACAGCGTGAGCACCAGGTTAATTTTCTTCCTTGTGATTCCAGAGCTCGCAAGGAGGTGGTGATTCGTCGGGCGAGTTCCGAACCCCGCGTGAACGACGCCTCGCAGTACATGTACAAGGAGAGCACTCGTAAGTGGCATCGAATGAGAGGCCTTGTTGCTCGACCCTGGAAACTGAACAAAGCAGAGCCCACCCAAAAGGCCGTTCCTTGAACCAGGAAAATTTACTTGAAACATTCAAGTAACTTCGTTTCATGGCCATGCAAGTACATGATCTTCAAGGAACTGCATTTTTGGGTGAACATGGTCGAATCTGAAGGTTGACATAGAATCCGAGATTCGTTTTCGTCGCTCTGTCTCTCTCGCACCCTTACGGGACGCCCCATGAGTGCGAGAGAGACAGAGCGACGAAAACGACTCGGAATGAGTGTGCTGACACGTCCCTCTCCCGCCAGACCCCAGCAGCGTGACGCAGAGCGAGGACGAGGTGGAGCCGCCGCGGAACATCGAGTTCTACCGCAACCGCTCGGACAGCGACACGGACGAGGAGGCCAAGAAGAAGAAGCACGTCAAGATCCAGCAGCCCGCGCAGCAGGCCGCCCCGCCGGCCAAGCCCAAGCAGAAGACCCACCAGAAGAAGCTCAAGGCCGTCAACTCGGACGAGATGGACATCACGACGCCCGCGCTGAGCGGCGAGGACCTCCGCCACTGGGTGGACCGCAACCTGGCGCGCGGCCGCCAGATCGTGTCCGAGGCCGTGTGGGACAACCCCGGCCTGGAGCCCGAGGGGCTGCAGTTCAAGGCCGGCGACACCATCGTCATCACCAACACCGAGGAGCACAACTGGTGGTGGGGCATCCGCAACCAGGGCCGCGGCGACGAGGAGCTGGGCCGCTTCCCCATGGCCGCCGTGCGGGTGAGTGGAGAAGGGCCTTTCGTCGCTCTGTCTCTCTCGCACTCATGGGGCTGCCCGGAAGGGTGCGAGAGAGACAGAGCGACGAAGCGCTCTTCTGAATCTCTCGGCTGGTGAAACGGGGCCGGGTCCGTTGGGTAGCAATGGAACAGGGGTGGGGGCCCTTAATGGCAATGGTAATGGAGGGTAGGCAGGCAACCCAACGGACACGCCAGTCGCGCGGCACGGCCCGCCCCGTTGTCTGCGGGCGTTTGCTCGGCCCACTCGAGCCAGACTTTTCTCGCGTGGTTTGTTTTCTGACTCCCCTTGTGCAGGTCCGCATCGGCCAGGACCACTACCTGCTCCCCGAGCAGGAGGCGGACGAGAGCCACCAGGCGCACATGCGCTGCTGCGTGGTGGAGGAGATCATCAACTCGGAGCGCGAGTTCGTCAAGACGCTGCGCGACCTCTACGAGGGCTTCATGAAGCCCGCCGAGGCCAACGGGCTCTTCAACCAGGTGCACGTCCGCGCCGTGTTCGGCAACCTGGAGGACATCCTCAACTTCCAGACCGTCTTCCTCAAGGACCTGGAGGCCATCATGGACTGGACGGCCCTGGAGAACGGGCTCGTCGGCGAGGTGTTCATGCGACACGTGAGTCAAGGCCTGAATGTGGATTTCTCGTCACTTTCTTTCACAGTGTACCGATTTTTGAAATTCCCCGTGCTGCTGCAGGTGGAGGGCTTCCGCATCTACGTGGAGTACTGCAACGGACACACGCAGGCCAACGTGATGCTGCAGGACCTGCTGTCCCACGACGTGTACGCCAAGTTCTTCGAGGAGTGCCGCGTGCGTCGCGGCATGCAGCCCATCTCGCTGGACGGCTACCTGCTCACGCCCGTGCAGCGCATCTGCAAGTACCCGCTGCAGCTCAACGAGCTCTACAAGTACACCAACGTGAGTACAGTGGCGCGGTCGTCGTCGTGGCCTGGGCTATATTTCACACCTCTATGTGGAGACTGCAAATTTCACACCTCTGCATTTCCTTTGTGGAGGCTGCAAATTCAACACCTGCACATTTCAAGCGCGGGGTTCTCCGCACTTGGTTTTACAGAGTCGAAACGTTCCTTCCAAGATTTGTGAACTAACCCTCCATTCCTCGTCCCCGCAGCTGAGGCACCCCGACTACAGCAGCCTACGCGATGCGGTCATCTCCATGAGGGGCATGGCCACCCACGTCAACGAGTGCAAGCGCAGGACCGAGGGGCTGGTCAAGATGTCCATGTTCCAGGCGGGCGTTCTGGACTGGGAGGTGAGGCAACATCAACCAGCAGCACACGAGAAAAAAAAAAGAGTTCCAAATCGGAGAACATTTGTACCACATTGATCAAATGCTCTCAGATATTCCGAGAGCATCTTTCGAAGTGAGACAAAAATGCTCTCGGATTCAGAACTCTTTTTTTTTTCAGTGCAAAACCAGATACGTCTTTTATAACATTTTTTTCAACAAAAACTAACATATTTTAAATTTAATTTTAGGGTCGAGACCTGATAGACGACAGCTCCCTGTTGATATATCAAGGCTCGGTGGTGCAAGTCGTCCCGGGACACTTCCTTCATAGGCGGCTCTACATGTTCGACAACCAGATCATCATTTGCAAGAGGAAGAGAACGTTCTTCGAGGTACTAAACCCCGTGCATTGTTGTTGTTGTTAGAGAGAGAGAAAAAAATGTGTGGTTGTGGTTGTTGTTGTTGTAGGCCCGTTTTTGTTACCGGATCGTCTAAACGGTTTGTTTCTTATTCCAGCAAGTGCCGAAGCGCGGGCTGGTGATGACGCGCTGCGTGCTGCAGTACCGCGGCCGCCTCATCCTGCAGATGTGCGAAGTGGAGGACGTCTCCGGGGGTGAGTTTGCGTCCTGAACGCTCTGTCTCTCTCGCACTCATGGAGTGCAGGCTCGGACTGACCAGGGCAGACAGGCAGAAAAATCTGCCGGGGCCTTTCGGGTTTGGGACCAGTAACGTCATAAAGTTGGTCAAAGAGTCCTAGTATATATAGGACGAAAGTAGCCGTTTTCGCTGATTTTGGGCGGCCGCTGCGTCCGATCTAATTGCGGCCAACGGCCTCCCTCGACGCCCTAGTATTCTTAAGACCCTACTCTTTCATGCCCTGTATCGGGAAGACGTTGACCACAACGATTTTGGCTTTGACCGCAACGATTTTCCGACCAAGTTGGTCAAAAAGTGGTCGAATCTCGGAAATTTGCTGATTTTGCTGACTTTGGATGGCCACTGTGTCCAATCTAGTCGCCGCAAAAGGCCTCCCTCGACGTCCTAGTATTCTTAAGACCCTACTCTTTCATGCCCTGTATCGGGAAGACGTTGACCACAACGATTTTGGCTTTGACCGCAACGATTTTCCGACCAAGTTGGTCAAAAAGTGGTCGAATCTCGGAAATTTGCTGATTTTGCTGACTTTGGATGGCCACTGTGTCCAATCTAGTCGCCGCAAAAGGCCTCCCTCGACGTCCTAGTATTCTTAAGACCCTACTCTTTCATGCCCTGTATCGGGAAGACGTTGACCACAACGATTTTGGCTTTGACCGCAACGATTTTCCGACCAAGTTGGTCAAAAAGTGGTCGAATCTCGGAAATTTGCTGATTTTGCTGACTTTGGATGGCCACTGTGTCCAATCTAGTCGCCGCAAAAGGCCTCCCTCGACGTCCTAGTATTCTTAAGACCCTACTCTTTCATGCCCTGTATCGGGAAGACGTTGACCACAACGATTTTGGCTTTGACCGCAACGATTTTCCGACCAAGTTGGTCAAAAAGTGGTCGAATCTCGGAAATTTGCTGATTTTGCTGACTTTGGATGGCCACTGTGTCCAATCTAGTCGCCGCAAAAGGCCTCCCTCGACGTCCTAGTATTCTTAAGACCCTACTCTTTCATGCCCTGTATCGGGAAGACGTTGACCACAACGATTTTGGCTTTGACCGCAACGATTTTCCGACCAAGTTGGTCAAAAAGTGGTCGAATCTCGGAAATTTGCTGATTTTGCTGACTTTGGATAGCCACTGCGTCCAATCTAGTCGCCGTAAAAGGCTTCCCTCGACGCCCTAGTATTCTTAAGACCCTACTCTTTCATGCCCTGTATCGGGAAGGCCATTGACCGCAACTAGTTTGGGAGCGGTAGCCTCACAAAGTTGGTCATGAAGGGTAAAAGCATAATGATGATCGGGGGCCTTTTGCAGTCTGATCCGCTGGGGCCTTTTGGGGGCCAGTCCGAGCCTGATGGAGTGTGTCGTAGGGGTGCGAGAGAGACAGAGCGAGGAGTGTGGGAGGAGTGTGGAAGTTGTTCGACTCTTGACCGCCACCCCTGTCCGTTGCAGCCACCTTCTTCGGGCGCGTCGTCAAGTTCGGGCTGCGCGTCGGATGCGGCGTGCGCAACCGCTCCATCATCTTCCAGTTCCCCAACAAGACCGTCAAGGACCGCTGGCTGGAGGCCTTCAAGGACGAGCGGCGGCTGGTGCACCGCGACCGGCGCATGGGGGTGGTCGTCAGCGCCGCCGACAGGAACCGCGCGCGCCTCGCCGCGCTGCGCGTCGACCGCCAGGACATGAAGATGGGTGAGTCGACGGACGGGGTGCAGCACAGTGCACAAAATATGTTGTTCTACGAAATGTCGTAATTTACGATTATTTTTAACAGTGTATCTGTTCGCAGAGAAACACTTGCTGACCAAGGTGCAGAAGGAGGGCAAGAAGGCGCCCAAGGAGAGGGTGCGCAGTCGGTCGCAGGGTCGCACCCACGCGGACGACAAGAAGTGGTACAAGAAGTTCTGATACGAGTACAGCCAGCGGATAGGCGAAGAGGTGTCCGTATGATGATGATGACGATGATGACGATGATGACGATGATGACGATTTCGCGCGGTGTTGTTCATACTGCCAAACTGACATTACTTCTGTAAGTAACTCCGAACCAAGGACGTTCGTGTCGGATTCTTTCCTCCTGACCAAGTCGAATAATGCCAAGCCAAACCTAAATAGCGTAGCCTACGCATCGGCGGGCACGTAGGTGCGACAAAGGCAAACCTACCGACCCGTTCGGAACGCTTGTATCCCACCTGAAATTGGTGGGAGGAGTTGCCGTATACCATGTCTCACTTGTAGATATTGAGAGGGACGTATTCTTGTGATTATTATTATTATTATTATTATTATTATTATTATTATTATTATTATTATTATTATTATTATTATTATTATTATTATTATTATTATTATTATTGGTGATGTTGTGATTCGAGTTGTTGTTGTTGTTGATAAGAGTGTTGCATTGGATAGTCTTTGCACGTGAGAAGTCCCAGTCGTTTTCGTTTGTTGCGGGTTCGCGACTGTCCCCAACCCTTCCCCTGTGTTTAGCCCTCGTCAAGCTCACCTCACAGAATTGTACATATGCACTAGGTTTAGGGACGTCTCTTTCCTTGATTTCGTCTTTTTTCCTCTCCGGCCTCGGCCAAGGTTCGGTTGCTGCGGCTCCGCCTGGCTCGGGGCCACGTTCTCGTTGCCTTGTTTGCAGTCCAATGTTGCGTACTCATTTGATGGCAACTAGTGAGGGCTAGGCGTCACTGGCGACGGGGGCAGTGGATTCGTGGCGCTGCAAGTGGCGCTGTGAACCAAGCAAGCTCGACCCACTCGCCTACCTGCGAGATTGTAGTACAGTGTACGATATCCGTGTAAAGTGTCTTTCCGTCTTTCTGTGTCTATCTGTCTCCCTTGTCTTTCTCTGTCTCTATTATAAGGTATATTATTCCCTACTAACGTAGCTGTAGTCATGTCAAGATAATTTACTAGAGATGGAAAAATATGTGGTAACATTGTTAAGTTTAGGTTTCCGTTGTGATTCTAAGAAACCATATTTTGCGTCGTACGAAGTATTACTAACATTTTTACTAACACTTGCGTGTTAATTGGTAACATAAGGAAAGTGGGAACTGGAAAACTACTGAGAAAATCAAACTAGGGAAAGTAGATAAGGATTTTAGGGCGTTTAATTCGCATGCAAACTTCGCGCTTGTAAATTCCTTCGCCTATGGACGGAAGCCAACTTATTTTTGTTACTGTATTGCTCAAATTTTCGGTCTCATTTGAAACACTGTCTTGTCCAATCGTCTTTTCGTCCCTTCAAAATTGAGTGTCGAAGGGAAACGGCATATACAGCTTCACAGGTGTGTTATATGATTTGGGAATGTTTTGTATAGTGTAAATATGTCTTGAGAACTGAACTGGTTGCAGTGATATTCGTAGTTTTTCGAGGGTTGTTGTGTGCGTTTTTGTAAGGAAAAGAATGAGTTATGTCAAACTTAAGTGCTAGAAATTTTCGATAGAAAAGGAACACACTTGGATACAGCAGACTCCCTTCACATTCAAAACTGTTAAACGAACAAGGAAACGCTCAATGTCCTTGTTCTCTTGTCGTGGAGTATACGTATGTATTTATGTAAGATGCGTTCAAAAGCTGCCTTTCTACCCCCTCCGACTTGATGTCCATATACTTTGGTTTTTCGATGTTGCTCCTCCAGGATCATTTTACCCTAGATTATGATGATTAACCCCGAGGGAAAGTATATTGCCACTTCTCTATCCATAGTTGTATCGACTTAGCAAATTGTACGTTTAGCAAGGCGTCTCTGTGTTTGACGGTGGCCGAAGTTAGGCCAATGTTGTAGATGTTTATGCAGGCATGCCAACCGGACGCACCCAATTCTCCTCGATTTAGACGTCTAGGTGGGGCTGTATTCCTTTCAGTCGTTTCTCTCAAATGGCCTACGTAAAATGCGTCCGTATTTTTAACGCTCGAATGCCCAGTCTGGACGACTCGAGGGTCTCCCGAAAGCAGACCCCTCCTCTGGTGGGGATCGAACCCGATCCATCTGCCATGCTGGTCCTACCAGCTAGTCGACTGAGCCACGGTGCGCACTTCCACGGCGAGGTGCTCGGTGAACACGGACAAACGACTGCGCAAAACATGAAACATTAACTGTGATAACTTTTAAGTGTATTCTTCTTAGTGATGTAATAACCGATAAAGTGAAACTAATGCTCACTATTCATTACTGTAGTTCGAAGTGCGAGTTCGCGTGATACCAAAAATTAGGATCTTAAATTGGGCACTTTGTGACGAATGCGTGTTGCACAGTGCAATGGCTTAGGAATGCTGATAAAAACTGTCCAAAAACTAACTGTGTTTTTACGCGAGGACAGAGCGAAACAGACAGGTGCAAAGTAGACCTATCCACAAAAGAAATGACCGTGTCGGCAAAGAAACCTCCCATTCATTCATTCATTCATTCATTGGTATGGTAGTCTCAATGTCATACCTTGAGGTAAAAACTGTTTCCGTCATCATAGTCAATGTCAATTCCTCGAAGGTCAGGTCTCTTCTCAATTGTGTTTGGGTCGCTTTGAATCTCCCGTCAATCCGTTTGAAGGCACTAATAAACAAACCACCCCTATATACTTCCCCTTATATAATAGGTGTTATTCTAGTCAACCTTCTAGATATTCTGGTTATGAAAGTCATGTATCTTTGATTCTGTAGTCATACTTGATGTATAGAAACGAGGTGTGCAAAATTAAAAGTGACCTCGTTTTGGAACGGGTGTTGAAGAACAAGGAGTGTGCTTTTATTTTCTCCCTCTATCCTGCACAACAACAAAAGAAATTGCGTTTGCCAAGTCAAGTTCGGTGCACACCCGCACTGATGATGCAGTCCTTATCACGACTAAAATTTTGATTGAGGGATCGATATATTCCCCAAACTTGAAATTCCTCTCCCATATTTGGGTGGTATGCATACATCATCACCCAAAGTTGAAAGATGAAACTATACCCTTACCCAAGACTTTATTTGGGGCTAGGGCTCACTAAATTTTGGTTAAAAAATTTTCATTGCCCAAAACCTTCCTTACCCAAATTTGGTTGTTACAAAAATCGAGTCTATATCATTTCTCCTACCTAAATGTTCGCCTACCTGTCTATTTCGCCTACCTATATTTCGCCTACCTAATAAAAATATTGAATAAAAATATTCAATAAAATATTGCCATTTTTCGCCTACCTATAGTTCGCCTACCTAATAAAAAAATTAAATAAAAATATTCAACAAAAAAACGAAAAAATCGGCGGCAAAAAGTGGCAATACGAAAGTCTCAAGGAGACCCGCCGATCAGCTTCGGTGTTCTTATGGGAACCGGGCCTTCATCCGACGCTCCCTGCCGCGCAATTCGACAGATTAGTGGGTTCGTATTGGGCTGGCCCACCCGAAGTGCGCGCGGTTTCTGTGGTACAGTGAGAGTCCAGATTCAGAGGCCTTACCTCAGAGGGGTCACATTGGGTATTTGAACCCGCGACCCCGAGTGCCGAGTCTAGTCAACTCCTCTACCCTGACCGCTCAGCCACCGAACCAGCTTGTCGGCGGCGATGTCGCAACTCCTCTTGAGCTGCCGTTCGAGAAATCTGGTCCCGAAAAAATGGTACTTTGAGCGGTCTCGAACCCGGGACCTGCTGCATCCCACATCATGCTCTTAACCACTGAGCCACCGGGACGCCATGGCACCCGGCCTGCCTGCGCTGGTACTCAATCTTCTCTGGATATACCTCCCAAAGCAATTGGTCGCCGAAAAAATTGTGTATACTACCGGTCCCGAACCCGGGACCTGCCGCTTCCCACGACATGCTCTTAACCACTGAGCCACCGGGACGCCATGGCACCCGCCCTGCCTGCGCCGGTACCCAATCTTTTCTGGATATACGTCCCCAAGCAATTGGTCGCCGAAAAAATTGTATACACTACCGGTCCCGAACCCGGGACCTGCCGCTTCCCACAACGTGCTCTTAACCACTGAGCTACCGGAGGATCGTGGTGGCCGCACTGCCAGCACTGGTACTCAATCCTCTCCTGATAGACTTCGTCAAGAAGTCGGTCGCCTCTGCCGAAAAATATGCTCATGGTTCTGGTCTCGAACCCGAGACCTGCCAGTCAGGAACGCAGCACTCTAACCACGGCGCTACCAGGTTGCTATGCACGCCACTGACCTGGCGCCAAACTTGAATAGCCACCCATCTTGCTTGATGCTGGACAAATAATAACTTCGGCGATGGGGTGAGCGCTGTGCGTAGCAACCTAATAGCGCAGTGGTTAGAGTGCTGCGTTCCTGACCGGCAGGTCTCGGGTTCGAGACTAGTACCATGAGCATATTTTTCGGCAGAGGCAACTGACTTCTTGACGAGGTCTATCTGGAGAGGATTGAGTACCAGCGCAGGCAGGGCGGGTGCCATGGTGTCCCGGTGGCTCAGTGGTTAAGAGCATGTGGTGGGAAGCGGCAGGTCCCGGGTTCGGGACCGGTACAGTCAGCTCTGGTTAGCTGTCCCGACAACCGGGAGGCGCCGAGGACAGCTAACCAGAGGCCGGGTAGGTAGGGCCCCGGGCCCACCCGGGACCGGGATAGCCGGTAATCCCTCGCCGGCCGGTGGTGGTGGGGATGTCTCTGGGACATCTAACCAGGGGCCAACTCGGGACAGTTAACCAGAGCTGACTGTAGTATGCACAATTTTTTCGGCGACCAATTGCTTGGGGACGTATATCCAGAGAAGATTGGGTACCAGCGCAGGCAGGCCGGGTGCCATGGCGTCCCGGTGGCTCAGTGGTTAAGAGCATGATGTGGGAAGCAGCAGGTCCCGGGTTCGAGACCGCTCAAAGTACCCTTTTTTCGGGACCAGATTTCTCGAACGGCAGCTCAAGAGGAGTTGCGACATCGTCGCCGACAAGCTGGTTCGGTGGCTGAGCGGTCAGGGTAGAGGAGTTGACTAGACTCGGCACTCGGGGTCGCGGGTTCAAATACCCAATGTGACCCCTCTGAGGTAAGGCCTCTGAATCTGGACTCTCACTGTACCACAGAAACCGCGCGCACTTCGGGTGGGCCAGCCCAATACGAACCCACTAATCTGTCGAATTGCGCGGCAGGGAGCGTCGGATGAAGGCCCGGTTCCCATAAGAACACCGAAGCTGATCGGCGGGTCTCCTTGAGACTTTCGTATTGCCACTTTTTGCCGCCGATTTTTTCGTTTTTTTTGTTGAATATTTTTATTTAATTTTTTTATTAGGTAGGCGAAAAATGGCAATATTTTATTGAATATTTTTATTCAATATTTTTATTAGGTAGGCGAAATATAGGTAGGCGAAATAGACAGGTAGGCGAACATTTAGGTAGGAGAAATGAACAACTCCCCAAAAATCCGCACCAAAATTTGGGTGGCTAACCCTCTCTCACCCAAAATACAGACCTGACCATGGCTCTGTCGTTCCCAGTGTATATACCCCATGCTGGCCGGGAGGCACGCGTGGCTACCCCGCGTCCGCCGAGACTCCACGCGTTTCCTGGGTCCACCGCCGCCAGAGCGCGGCACGGGTCCACCATCCGGCGAGCGCGGTCTGGCTGGATTCAACAGGGCATTTACACCGCAAGGCAGGACACTGCAAAGAAAGGAGACCCCGTCAAGTCAAACAGAGAAGCACACTGCTCCACCGAGTGTCCGATGGCAGGAGAGTGGTGAGGACAGACAGTGATTCGTGGACGCAGGAGAGCGGTGCCCGCGAAAACGCGGCGAAACGGCGACAACGCGACTTGTCGTGTCATTTCGGGCGCTGCAATCCGCCCACTTGTCAACTGTCACCCCCTCCCCCTCCCTCTCCGGACCGTCCCGGACAGAGGACTCGCCGATTGACACCTGGCCGCGATAACGATCGACACCGAGACCCCCGTCATCATTTGATCGCCCAGCTCCCGTTTTCCCGCCCTTCCCTCTCCCCGCTCTCCTCGCAGGTTCATCTATCTTCCTTCCAGATAATCTTCTTGACAAGCGCTGTCTCACAGTACGGATCATCATAATATTTCTTCGTCTTGCCGCCGCCCCCCTCCGCGCCTGCACTCAGCCCGGCTCCCTCCAGCGGCGCAGGCAGGCAGGCAGGCAGGCAGGCAGGCAGGCAGGCAGGCAGGCAGCGCCACCTACAACGCCTGCCCCTCCAAGCGCCGCGCCAGGCTCGCCCTCCGGCCGTCAGGACATGAGACATGACGCGGAGGCAACTTTTTCCGTCTTCTTGACGGACGGGAGAGAGCGAGAGAGAGAGAGAGAGAGAGAGAGAGAGAGAGAGAGAGAGAGAGAGAGAGAGAGAGAGAGAGAGAGAGAGAGAGAGAGAGAGAGAGGCTCAGTAATGAAGGGCTGTAGGGATGCCGAAGAACCGCCCAGAAACGGCGGGGGGAAAGAGGCGGCCAGAGGAAAGTGTAGAAGGGAGACGAGGAAAGAAGAAAGAAGTTGTTTCCCTGCAGAAGAGAGAGAGAGAGAGAGAGAGAGAGGGAAAGGTAAGGGATAGGCTGTGATTGATGACGTCGGCCATGCAATATGATGGTGGCGTGGCGCGGCGGCTCGGAACACCCGAAGTGTCCATCCGTCAAAAAAAAAAGCAGTGCCTGACGCTCGCTTGGCCCGCCGAAGACAGCCGAACAACAAACCACAATTTTCTAACGCGCGCGCCACCCGGATCCTTATTTTCTGAAAAAAGGGAGGAAGAAAAATGAAGAACGAAAAAGAAGAACGATGAAGCGGGGGCAAAAAAAAAAAACTAATTATTTTTTCCCAAACCTGACAACTTGATGTGGTCGACCTGAACAGCTGGCAGTGGCGTGAAAACCGCGTGTACGCCCCGCGCCCCGCTGCTCGGATCACTCTGCCGCCCCACCACGCCCCGCCACGCCCCGCCACGCCCCGCCACGCCCCGCCACGCCACGCCCCGCCCCGCCCCGCCAAATCCTCGGCCTTGTGGGGGGCCTAGCCCTGCTGGCTTCCTAATTGATTAATCCCTTCAGATGTGACGGCCAAGTGATGGTGCAGTTGACGCGGCCGGGTGCCGAGAAAAAGTGAGCCGAGGAAAGGAAGGCGGTGCGGGAGAGAGAGAGAGCGCTAAACCACACCGCGCATCCCACAGCGTGCATCCCTCTCCGTCCCTCTTCCCCTCGGCCTATTAGTCGCCTGTCGCTGCCAGAGGATGCCCAGGGATGCCCTTGCGCCGCGCCTCGCGGGCCTAGAGGCCCTTTTGGCCCTTTTGGCCTTTCGGGCTTTTCGGACCTTTTGGGCCTTGCGGTCCTTTTGGGTCTTTCGGGCCTTTCGGGCTTCCCTCCCGGTCTCTCTCTCTCTCTCTCTCTCTCTCTCTCTCTCTCTCTCTCTCTCTGCTCCCCTGAATCCCGCCGAAGCCACTCCGAAGTGCCAATAACCCCCGGAATCCCCGATCCGATCCCGCGACCTTCGACCCCTCAACCCGGAGGAAGGGCCCCGAGCACCATGCATTATATGAACTGCACAGGAAACCATTCTCACTCCTTTCCCCGCACTGTAAATCGCCCCTCCCCACGTTCCCCACGTGTGGGCGATGTGGCGCCCCGGCGTTGGCGCAGCACAGCGCAGCAGCCTTGTCCCCTCAATTCCGATCCTGAAATTGCCCAGTCACAAAGCAGACCCCGGGGACTTCGACTTTGGTGGGCTCCTGGACACTAACACAAGCGCGCAGCTAATCGCACGCGCGTGTGTGGCCGCGACTGCTGCGTGTGCTTGTCTGCGAC